TGAGTAATCGTGTTTGTTCTTGGTTTCCAGGTCAAACGGTTCCTCGTAAAATATCGCGCTCTGTAATTATGCTATCGCGTTTTTCTACCCGTTGATTTATGCACAACACCTTTTCTCTTGTTCACGAATCATCGATAATTTAACGACGTGCTAGGCTACAGTTGAACGTCTGCGCAATCACACGGTAAGCGTTGATTTATTTTTTTTTAACCGGAAGCTCTACGGCCAAAACTTTCGCCTCTGCAAGGTGTTTCTTAAAATGGCGATCCTGATGGATCCTAATGAATCCGAACGATCCCCTGGCGGCTTTGCATCACGGCCGAAGGTACCTTAGGCCACGGGAAACAACGTCGCTGCGGATACTTTCTCCTATCGTACGATTAGCAATCGGGGATATCCAAAAGTCATTAAACTCCATGAGAACGAGTATTTTTATCCCATCCGCTTAACAGGATCCCTTGCACTTTCTGACAATCAAAAACCGTTTAACTTTCTCTCGAAAATCAAAGACACTAAATTCTCATTATCACACGAAGAAAAATCGCGATCGTAGGGCAAAGGTGGTGGGACATCTGGTATTATCCGTACGAAGGAAAGGAGGTAGGAAACCTCCTGAGCGAGGCCTCGAAGCGTGTCGAAGCGCAGTCAGAGCAAGGAATCCTCGTGAACGCGAGTCGTGCTTGCGGCGATTACGAAATTCATTCCATCTCTTCTCTATCCTGGATAATCCTGGCGCGCCATCGAAAAGCCCTAAGCGTCCTGTGTGTGCCACTGAATGCAGCCGGGTCGCATTGCAGCTGCACCCACGAGTCACATCCTTCTCCTCCTCTTTCCTCCTCCTCTTCTTCTTCTTCTTCTTCTCGGTGTCGCGCCACGTATCCTTCCCACTTCTTTATTCTACGGCGCCCGGTTCCACACACGCGTGTGGATACGTGTGTGCATACGCGGTGCACGCCGAGAGAGCAAAGGAGAGTGCTCCGAGCGGAGCTAAGCCGGTCTCACGGTAGTTCTTCGGGGTCAGGGGGCGATATACCTACCTACCTACCTATCAGCCTGGTTGCTCGAGCCTGCGTGTCGCAAGCAGCCTTCTCCGTATCCTCCTTCTCTTTCTCCTCCCTCGTAGCTCCGCGTCGAACCTCTTCTTTCACCTCGTTCGACACCGTAACACCGCACTCTAACCCGGACCACGAGCGACTACAACTTTTGCCAGCCTTTTGTACTCTCCTGCTGCCTTTTATCGGCTCAGGTCAATCCAACGCGAACTAATCTAATCTTTCCAGGGTATCTGGACAATTTGTTTCGCCTCGGTTTCCTGGTCCAACTCGCTCGCTTTCACGGATCCTTGCGTTTTGCTTCAACCAACTCGATAGATTCGGTTTCAGATCGAAATTTTTCGCGGGGAAGATGGATGGGATCCTTGAGAAATGCGCCTTTCTACTATGATTTGCAACCGGCTAATATTTGATAAAACGATTATCGTTGTTGCGAGGTTTTCTTCTTTCGATGCCTTTCTCGAGACCGAAGGTTATCATGACCGAACTTGTTACGAGGCTAGTGATAATTCGATTCTGTTAACGGTCCGATGAATGAATCGCTAATGATCCATGTAGAATGACGGTGTCGGGCTGTTGAAAGGATCGCACGGAAAGATGAGTCAAGATCGGTATACGTTCTCTTGGTGGTAATTCCAATTACAACGTCATTAATCTCCCGCTAAATTCAACGAAGGAGAAAGCTGCACCGGCTTGCATGCGTTGGACCAGTTTTAGACTGCTTGCTACTTGGAAACTTTCAAATTAACTGGTACACTCGCGAACAAGACAGGTTACTACAGGAAAAATGGTGATGTTCCACGTTCCGGTCCTCTCCATTTTCCTTAAAATAGTCTCCTTTGATCGCAGGTGTACAGCTTTTCTATTACGAAAATAATGAATGAAGTGACTTAACAGCTGATAAATTATTACTAAATAATACCTTTTTGTTTCATAATTGTACGGCAAAATTGAATTTATAAATACATCGTAGACCACCAACGTAGACAACGTGTTAATCCACCGTGGCATTACGTTAATTTTTCTTTCCGATTGAGTAACGAGTATAAATATTGCAAAACGAGGCAACTGAAAGAACCAGTCCAGTGCCAACCAATACAGACTGTCTCCACTTAGCAGTGAAAGGGTTAATTACGATCATCCAGCTGGATGAGACGTCCGACTCGCGTGGGCGAATCGATTGCGAGCTTAAATCGAAGATATCTCGGTATGTGATTATGTGTCTCGTACGGGTCTCAGAAACCACCATCAAGTCCCACTTTCTCTCGCGCGTTCACGCGCGTATCCACCACCTAACGTCCGTTAGGTGTGCCTCTGTTGAAGAATCGATCGATTCAATAGAACGATCCTCGTATCGCGAGGACAACGAAGAAAAGCATCCTCTATAAATAGACATCATCTTTCTCTTTTTCTTTGTACGCGGTTTTCCTCTCACGCGTCACTTTATAGAAAGAAACTTGTTGATATAGGATGAATTATTCATAAAGGATATCGCGGTAAGCGTAAACGTATTCGATCGCGGAAGGAAATAAGAGGCAGAGCAATCGTTGCTGAAAAATTTGCAAAAATTCTTCAAGATAGCTGATTAGCATAGATTGCGGTAAGAGTGTTTCGCAACTTTTGAATTTACAGGATTCCTCAAAGTTACACAACCGAGAGATTCGGTAGCGTTTACCCGATGATCTGCAACAATGCGAGTTTCACCTTCCGTAACGCGGATGCTCATGGGTGCGGTTTCCAAATAACCCGAACGATATGTAAACACCATAACGCAACCGCGCACACGATTTCCACGCTTCTTGTGTCAATGTACACTCGCGGTCAAGTCGGATCTCCCTAAAAATCTGAACACTCCGACGACGGACCACGAAGAGAAGCCCAATGTTCCTTTAAAAATTATTCTTCTAATACAAGACTGTTACTCAGAGCAAAAGAGAATCTCAGATATTCCAAAATTCCCTCCTTGTTTCCCTCATCCCCTTTCGCGTCCACTTGATTTTCGCCATAAATGGCGAGGAACGCGGAAGCGAAAGGAGGAGAGGAAAAGGAAGAGTGGTTAATTCATGAGGAGGCATCCGAGAAGGAACGAAGCAAGTGGCGGTGTGCGCCGTGGCTGCACGTGGTGGCACGTGGAGAGGCGTGGTTCGTGGGAGGGCCGTGTATACCGCTGTAATCCACTTGGCACACGCTGTTCGGCTAACCCTACTCTTTCTCGTCCGTTCGCTACCCTACCCTGGGTTACCTCTACCTGTACCCTGCCTACGGTACCGTCGACTAGCGTTACCGAAGTTAATCGAGTCCTTCCGTGCACGTGCACACACGACCGTTCAGGTGCAGCAGCCTGTTCCCTCTAGTATGCGTTCGCGTAGGTGGGATCGGTTCTTCCACTCGCGGCTCTCCTTCACGGATTCGCTATCCGATAGGGTTCATTGTTTCAGAACGAACTATCTTAATTGGCAGCCACCTTGCCTTTCCTTCGACAGGTTACACTTGGCTGAATGTGAGAAAGAGAGGAAGGGAGCGAGTGGGTTACTGCGTTTATGACTTTTCTCTAAGTGGTAACAGCCTCCTGTCTGACCGATCCGGCTGGTCTTGAATTTATGACGATGTAGATTCGACGGAGAGGTGGGTTTGCATTGGATGCCTATCAGCGAGCTCGTTCATACCTCCCTATCGTGTCTAATCGCTTAGCACCCTGTACAACCCTTCTGATTAATCCCCGCCACGGTGGCAGCCTGGAGTATGGTTTACGACGTGAAAACCACTGGGTGGTCCGTTTACGCTAGCTGCAGGGAAATTCAATCGAATAAGCGAATTGGGTGACCGTGACTATCTGCGATTCGCATCTTGGCAATCGGTCGAAGGGTGGAAAATATTCGAGAGGGATGAACGCATCTGTTTACTCCGTGTATCTAACATATTTCATGGAATCTATGATTCCTGTAATTTGATATTCAATTTCCACTTTCCAAAGTATAATTCATGTATCTAGAATAATAAGAAGTATTTGTTTAATTTGTTTCACAAAAAGACGAGGCAATCACCGTTCTCGTTGACAGAAACATATCCACCCCCTAGACGTTAGGGATAATATCGCGTAATAATAATCGAGCAAGGGTATGGTGGCCGTCTGTATACTGGGTAGTATTTTAAATGCCAATGATTTCATGTCTCCCCGGGGTGTCGAAGCAACCCTATATAGGACGAACCGCCGACGTCGAGGACCTCAGTCGACGTCGACGATCCAACGACCAATAAGTCGTTCCTAAACAAAGTTCCTCGAAACAAAAGTAACATCGAATTATCAGTGAAAGTGTTTTCTAAATTTCATTGACTGCCAGGCCTAATCCTTGGCCTGGTGGTCGAAACTCGATCGTACTTACCAAAATTCGTTCGATCGCAGAGATGATCACCATGGACGCCAGTCATTCTCAATATCGAAGATATTGTACGTGGTTTGTCGAATAAACATTTCCCAATCACGGTATCATAAATAAACCGACTCGGTTATCCCACGCTTCAGTACTCGCGTCAAAAAGTTTCTTTTCTCATCGAGCATCCCCTTTGTCTCATCTAGACAATGAACGGTTGATTTCAGACTCCACTTTTCAAATCATGTTTTCAATACACCGAGTCTGTAAATACTTCTGTATTGGTGAACGAAAATAAACCAACCAGACGCTATTGATGCCGGAGGAATTTGATATTTGAGGAAATATCCACGTGATTCATAATGTAACACATTCAGCACATATGAAGCCTCAAGGCATCAAATCAGGTAACACCGTCGTTTAAATGGTGCCTTAAGGCTTTGAGTAATAAAATCCAGTCAGGCGTTAAAGTAAGCCAAATGCAACCACTGGAATCCAGCTGAAACTTCCAACAGTTAATATACTTTATGTTGATAGGAAACAGTTGCTTTAGGGTGTTTCTTTCGTTCTGTTGCAGGGCAACTCCATTCGCCGAACGGCGACAGCGACAACAGCAACGGTAGCCAGCGTGCTGTGGCTATTACACGGAACGACGTAGATCAGCAACCGCACCGCCAACGGCAGCAACGTCAGGCACCAGCTACCGTTCCAGTTCTCGCCTGTACGAATCACTCGTCACCAACCACGACCACCACCGCGTTCAACGTAGTAGGCTCAAGCATGCTTATTCTCCAGGCACAGGTAAGGGACATTTTTATCGTTCATCAATCTCTATGGCTTACTTGTTTCCTGTCTTTGATATTGTCCAATAAACGTTATGATCCATTTCAAAAATCCTGCTGTGGTGTGTTCTTTTTCCTTTGGAGCCGTCTGTTCGCTATTTTGTCCCCTTTTTTGCCAACAGCTCGTGGTAATCCATCTTTAAAATCCGTACCCAATTAGCCTTGACTTCGGTGATCTTGCGGTTGAGGGTAAATGACTAAGATGACGATTCATTTATCATGTTCTTTTATATTCTTATTAAACTCTCCCCTTTATTATCTATATAAAAAGCACCAAGACTTTACCTCTTATCCCTTTTTACCTAGCTGTTAAGGGTCGACCATGATACCTTTGAAATCGATAATTTTTATATAATAAATAAATTGTTAATTCTTGAAAATAATAAAAATAATATATCTTCAATATCGTTTAATTGGTATGCTCGACGAGCTTCTTTCGATGATTAAACTGTGTTTGCCGGAGACAGTTATCCGGATAATTATCCATCATAGCGGTCGAGCAACGCATGATACTTTCACTATTTCACAGTATCTTATCTGTCCTGGTACTCTTCGAAGTCTAGCTCGACCCGCAACAAGATCTGCCCTCCTACGTTCTCGATCGTCATCTGCATTCGCTTATCGGGCACCATCTGCATTCCTGCCCACGTACCCGGATCTCTACAGTGTCGTCCTACCTGTTTCTACCCCTTCCCCCAGCTGTCAGGCCAGATTTTCCATCTCGGTTTCACTCGTTCGGATCAGCCATTCTCGTTACGCGTAATTAAACGACCAACGGTTTGGTTAGTACAGTTGATACACGAAATTAGCGATCCCAGCTATTGGAGATTCCAAGGGGATGAAAGGGGGTTGGTGTTTTCTGGAGGTCGTTTAGAAGACCGAGAGACTTCGATCGCCTCTCGAGGGAGCGATGAACGAAATGTCAGACCAGAAGCGGAACCAACCTGGCAAATTGAATATCCGTCCCTCATCCTCCCTTCCGCCTTCTGATATCCTTCAGCCCTCCCTTTGCAGACGTTTTCTTCAGAATTTCAAATCAGTGAAATAAAATCTCTAACCACTATCATAATAAAATGATATTTTAAATTAAACTAATGTTGGTCACTATTCATAGAGTACCTTCCGTCATGCGATTGTTATTTATAACATGCATTAATATTGCAAGGTGGAAGGTAACTCGACTATTCGAATCATTGGATGTTGAAGTTGTTATAATTCGTCTTGGATTCGCAAGAAATCTTCGGCTGTCCGTTCAGTTGTAGAGAACACGCGATACAAACCGCCTCGCCAATCCTCTCCGACATCCTCACTGCGCACCTCAACTGTACATCGATGTCTCGACACGGCTCGCAATTGTGGTCGAACAATGTTACCGCCTTGCAGTCGAGTACTTCGATTAGCCGCTCGCGCGGCTCTCCGGAGCTTGTCCGACTTGGTTGGAACAATTGAAAAAAGTGAATAGCTTCTTCGTTCGACCACCGTGCTCTCCTCTAAGGATATCCAACTTCTTACTCCATAATCGTCCTTAGAAATTTTAGTAGGATGATTGAAAATTTTAAACGATCCAGGGGTGAGTTTAACGTGATCTTTTCAGAACCCTTACGGTGACGCTCTGCCGGACTTCTACGACGTCCCTTATCCGGCTACCACGGATACGGGAAGTTTGCCAGGCGAACTTGATCCATTTCCGGAACTACAGCTGGGCAATCACCAAGGAGTGCCGACGGCCGACGATTCGGCTCAGGCACAGCATCATCCGCAAGCTCCACCGCCACCTCCGTCGGCTCCGTCTCTTCCCGAAGACGTCCAAGCCGATTCGCATAGGTACTATTCGTATCAAACTTCCATTAGATTTTCTCAAGATTATCGATCGTCCTCGTTAGCGATAAAAATCATCGTTGACATTTCGCGAGAGACCATTGACATTTCAATCTTGACGCAGCGCGACACCCTTGCCGAGCTTCCAAGAGACCTACACCCAACGGTACACCAGGCAGGAGCTACAGCTCAAAATGGACGACAAGGGAGAGTGTTACGACAACTTGGTATATTCCTGTCCCGCTGACCATTATTCCACCGAGTTCTCGCCCACGTTGTCCTACCACAATCATCAACAACCACCTCAGCAACAGCATCATCATCCCCACCAGCAGCAGCCAGCACCGCCTCCTCAACAGCAACATCATCCTCATCATTACTTCGCCACGGAGACAGCGCCGACACCGACCACCGCCTGTCCTTCCCCGTCGAATCATCGACAGGATTCACCGTACGGTGGGTCCGGAAGCGTGCCCATCGTGTACGGTCAACCACCGACCATCACCGGGGGTGCCATCCCTGTCGCGCCGACGGATATTTGTTCGAGCGTCGACACCGTAGTCGTGGGTACTCCTCAACCACGAAGGCCGTCCTTACCCACGCAGAGATCAGAGTCTGCGAGGTAAAATGACTGAATTCATTTCGGCGAGTAAATCCTGTAAAAAAGGGAACAAATTTTGTTAATCAAAAAGGATCGTGTCTTTTATCGAATAGTAGTGGCAGTACGGAATCGCCGAAAGCACGTGGGGGCAGCGGCAGTACCGGAAGCTCCGTCAATTCTCCTTCGCCCGGAAGCGGGGTCAGCAACGAACGGGCACCACCAAGTCCCAGCCAACTGTGCGCCGTATGTGGGGACACAGCAGCGTGTCAACACTACGGTGTACGTACCTGTGAAGGTTGCAAGGGCTTCTTCAAAAGGACTGTACAGAAGGGTTCGAAGTACGTCTGCCTTGCCGAGAAAGCTTGCCCCGTTGACAAGCGTCGACGGAACCGTTGCCAATTTTGTCGCTTCCAGAAGTGCCTGATGGTCGGTATGGTGAAAGAGGTAAGATAGAGCAGCACTGTGGATATTAAAAATATAATTGAATTTGATTTTCTCAAATAAGAAGAGTATGCTTGTTCGATAGGTTGTCAGGACGGATTCGTTGAAAGGGCGAAGGGGTAGATTACCCTCGAAGCAAAAATCACCGCAAGAATCACCTCCCAGCCCTCCAGTTTCTTTGATCACAGCTTTGGTACGTGCACATTTAGACACGACGCCTGATCAAGTGAACTTGGATTATACGCAGTACCGACAACCGAGGCCCGGTGATCCACCCATCACGGAAGCGGAAAAGACCCAACAGTTCTACAATCTTCTCACCGCCTCCATCGACGTGATTCGGAATTTCGCCGATAAGATTCCTGGTTTCACGGATCTGGTGCGAGAGGATCAGGTTCGTAAAATATTTTTATTCACCATCGTTATATTTCCATCTGTTGCATGATTCTTTTTTTAATATTGAAAAGAAATTAAAAATATATCGAAGAATTATTAAAATTAAGAATAGATGTAGATCTGTAACACAATGTAAGAAAGGATTAATTCAGGGTGCATTTTCTTATCACTAATTTCCTGCGTCGTTATGCGAGCCAAGTTGTACATATATTGTTTATTATGTATCGACGTCCAGACGATATCCGAGAAGCTCTCATTAAAGAGAGATCGATAGCTTGTACATTTTATAAAAGGTCAATCCTGACGAGCCTACGACATGTCTAATCGACGGTCTGATTGGCCGGTTGTCTAGTAGTCTCGAGACCTCGGTGAAAATAACATTTTCTCGCTAGAAAAATTGTACACGAATCGGACGACTCATATTGAACAATCCTTTCGTAATCACCAAACTTTTCTGTCCTTCCACCTTGCAGGACTTACTTTTCCAATTAGCCAGTCTGGAATTGTTCGTTCTACGACTGGCGTACCGCACAAAACCAGAGGACACGAAGCTGACGTTCTGCAACGGTGTCGTCCTGGCACTGGAACAATGCGAGCGTAGTTTCGGCGATTGGCTTCACAGCATCCTCGAGTTCTGCAAGGCTCTTCACGCCCTCGACGTAGACATTAGCGCTTTCGCCTGTCTGTGTGCCCTCACGCTCGTTACCGGTAAGTTTTTATCGAAAACCATTATGTCACACGATATAAATAAAGTAATCCCATGATTTTCCTTTTCTTTCGTTTGACGATTCTTCATTACGCGCGCGACCGTCTGCGAAATAAATGATTAATCGAACAGTCGGTTTATTTATTGATACGACGAAAGGAAGTTCGATCGTGCGTCGCACGCGATCCTCTTCGCGCGTTGCATGTGCGTGTTCCTTATTCACCGTTTCGACGTACTATGAATTCGATTGCACGCAATCGAGAGCTTCGAACGTAAACAGAAACGTGGAATCGTTGTCCTCTCGAGAAACGAAACTCACCTCCTGTGAGTTGGTAGTTGACTGACAGAAACGCGTGTGTCTTTGCTTGACTTTCCAGCAAGGTACGGCCTGAAAGAACCTCATCGCATGGAGCAGCTGCAGATGAAAATAATCTCCTCCCTACGCGATCACGTCACCTACAATGCCGAGGCACAGAGAAAAGCTCATTACCTGTCCCGTCTGTTAGCTAAGCTACCGGAACTGAGGAGTCTATCGGTGCAGGGGCTCCAGCGTATCTTTTACCTGAAACTGGAGGACCTGGTGCCAGCACCGCCGTTGATCGAGAAGCTGTTCGTCGGTAGTCTACCGTTTTAAAATGTCACCTTCGAACAGCCAAAGCCTAAGGCTAGTTTCGCGTAGGACAATTCATCATCGTCACCGTTGAGATTAAGTTTACATTTTAGTTTTATACGTATATACGTATACGTAGCTCTTGCTATCTTCTTGCGTATATCCTCTGCATGGTTTTCACCAGTGAATCGCGTGAGTTAGACTCAAGATAAAATGGACAAAAGACGAGAGATCCTCTCTCGGATGCTGACGAGTTTCGAATGGGTGTGAGTGTGACCGAACGTTGTGCGGAATATTAAATTTAAGACAAAGGTTCCCTGTGCGTGTATGTAAATACATGATCCGAGAGAAGCGTGGATGCTCGGGCGCGTGATTCGACGATGTGTCCGAAGGCGGACGTGTCTGCCCGACGCGACAACTGTTACTATTGTTACTACTATTATTACTGCTATTACTATTTTAACACTGTAACGATTATTCTTGCTATCGAAAGTACAGTGGATGAATCACGATTTCTTGACGGATCGTCGATGACGAGGGTGAACATCGACGAAACGAACGATACATTCTATACATTTTTGCTATCGTTTTAGAAGGCGTAGAAGAAAGTTACCTATTTTTCGCAAACGTGCACAAACGAGAGGTTCAAGGAGTATCACACACGAACACACGCGTCTATACGTACACGTACATACACACACGAGAGAATTTTTATCACTTTTCTACCTACTTTGTACAAATCATCGCGTCGACGAACAATACGTTTATTTCATCGCTGGTGCTACGCGTAGCCGACGATCCGCCAAGCAACAAGGTTCTCTGTTTACTGTGGACGAATGTACTTATCCGTTGGAGAGAAGGAAGAGACGCATTGACGGTTTACAACATATCAGAGCAACGACGGAAGAGCGGATGTAAACACCGCAGATTAACGTTGCTGATTTATTCCCTCCCTCTCCCTTCGTGAATTTCGCTCTTCCGTGTTGACAGTTTAAAAAATAAAAAAAAAAAGAAGTAGCTCGTGATTGTGATCGCACTCGACGTCCACGACGATGCTAAATAATCTCCCTCTTTCCTAAAAATCCTTCGTTTCCTATGCTAGAAACTTTTAATCGGTGCTGTGCTCTTCTCCATTGTCGATCTAAGGAATTTAGCGTCGTCGTAAAACTTCGGGTGTCTTCAGCGTCACACGCGGTCGGGACCGTTCCCGTCCAACAAATCAACCGCTATCTTTGCGTTAATGTGATTTTAGACAGCTAAGGGAGACAAGATTGAAGTAGGACCCCGAAGTCAGCCAAATCGGACAGGCGTGTCATCGCGATACCTTTATTCGGATAATACAGAGGCTTTGCGACGGGTCCGGCATAAAGTTACCTATTACGTTATGACATTTATTTTTAATCAAACTAACGTAGAAAGTCCCTATTTATACGTATACCGCGCCGCTATTACTACTACTACTTATACTACTATTACTTGCTACTTACTATTACTTATTACTTACTTACCGCTAGCGTTTACGATTCTATGGCGTACCGTTCGCCTACCATTACCATTACTGTTACCATCCGCTACCTTCGTACCACCATTGACACCACCTTGCGTTACCATTATTCGCTAAACGTTTAAGGAACACCGTCAACGTTAAGCGCTCTTCGCCGCTCTACAGTATCTCTGGGACGTCATCTTGGAATCCGATCGACCCAAGGGCAATCGCGTCCATATTGGTCGGGGAACGAATCGATGGAAGATGGTCGTCGATGTAACCAATCGTTCGATCTCCGCCAGGGTCATCCTTTCGGTAGGAAATATCTGTCCTCTGTTCTGTATGTTACTTGTCGACGTAAAAAAAAAAAAGTACACAGCCCAGTAAACCGATCCAACCGATACAACTTTTAATATATTCAATAGTATCACAGAGCATTGTCTTTTAGTGCACTTAATCGATCAACAGGCATTTCGCGCGGGAAAATTACCTTACCTACACCGCGTGGAATGCTGAGACAGAAACACGTTAAAATACATGTATATGTGCACAATAGGTATAAAAAATTAATTACGTGTGTATACGTTACTCTCTAATCCGCCGTGTGTATCCGCAAATGTTTAACATTTTGCAAAGAAATTTTCCTTCCATTTCGATCTCTATGCAATCACGGTTCCTTTGGAAAATCGAACTTCTTTAAATTTCTTTTTTAATTTTGTATCGTTTTAAATTTCGATTTATCGATCGAAGATTAGTTTATTAAAATAGCGAACGATTGTTGTAAACGAGCTTTGCGGATGGATACGAAACAGAATAAAATGCCCGGCAAGAAGCAAGGTACAAATGTACGCGAAAAGAAGATGTATATTGAAAAGTATCTTCCTTTCGATAGAGAAAATAGAACATCGCGAAGGAAGCGATTGATTAAAAATTTGTAATGTACTCGATGATCAATCAGAAAATAATGAATCCGTAATTAACGATAATGGTTTCTCGAGCTCGTATAAATATTTTATCGAGATTCAGGGGTTCGGTCGCTTTCTCCGCGTGTCAGGAGCGGATCGAGTCCAGAAGAGATTTAGAGGCTGAAGGAATTCGTCAAATTAAACGGTGCTATTAGGCTAATTGCGATGAACGAGCGCTCAATGAATTCGAGAGTTCTTAAGTTTTTACCTCGCCGAGGGACAGAGGGGAATGGATTATTTTTGTTCCTATTAATTAAGAAAATTAAAGGAAGTCTCGCGATCGTTTCTAATCCCTTAGTGAAAGTGAAAACAATTCGGCTCGTGATCGACGTGTACACTTCTGTTTCGATATTTATCGGATCTTTCCTGGACTCAACGCTGTATTACTTTTTATTATGTCAAATTCAACAGGGAAACAATGAAGAGAGGAGGTCAGAACGAGATGGGTAAGAAAACTTGGAAAGTATATCTCGGATCGTTCGAACGTAGAAATATCTCGATGGAGAACGAGATCGTTCGAGTATTGTTGTTACCAATTAATTGTCGTAAATCGCTGTAAAACGAACGGCCAATTCCGTTAGGTGTACTATCCTCTTTCCCTCGATGTAATAATAAATATTCAATCAACGGCTGATTTCATTATCTTTTTTTTATCGTTTTTCATAACCTGGCGTGTTCGATGTTCCACCGGAACCGTGGTGTCGCTCGATAATCGAAACTCGTTCCCTTTCCGTCCAACGATCGAGCGAAATTTGTTGATTTTTCTTCACGATCGACATTTTATAAAAAAAAAAGAAACAAAGAATCATAAGAAAAAACAATTATCTTTACTATTTAAGAAGAAAATAAAAAATATATTCTCGTTTTCGTACGGACATTTCTACAGCGATCGATCCGTACTTCACCGTAGGAATATCTGTGGATACAGTCACAGACAGGGGCGTACTGGGACTTAAATTTTTACCGGGAGAATTAGTGACATGATCCAGGGCCCAAAACCTTATCGGACCTCCGGGAAATCTCGAAACCTCCAGGCCAGTTCGCCTCTGGCCACAGATACTAGCTGCACCATTACAAAGTACACACCGGAAGTGGTGGACGTTGCATCGAAAGTAAATTCATAAATTTATGTACATTAATGTTATTGGGAAGATCTCGTGAGAAATATACTCCAATCCTCTTTTGAAATATATATACATATTATATGAATCGCAATAAGAAAGAACGGAATAGAAGAATAAAATAATGTCGATCGATTGCCGATACGTATTGACGGCCGTACAATTGAAAAGGAGGTGCGAATTGTTGATATCGATCGATGGTTCGCCGATGATCTCTATCGGGTCAATTTGTGTTCTCCTTGCAATTTTGTTCACAAAGACAATAAAAGGGAATTGCAAGGGAAGTTTCCCCATCACCGGCCTTTTCACCCCTACGACCGTCGATATCTAGCATCGTTACAACACTGTTATTAACAATTTGTAAAGATATTCTATTTAAGGTGTTTTACACGCGCGCACATTCACGAAACCTTCTTTCCGTGGCCTGATTCGTTGTAATTCTGTGCCGAGCCACACACAGTTCCCTCTCGCTTGATTAATATATGATACGAAAATAAAATAATATATTGTTATTATATATACATACTTATAAATATATAAATATGATTAATATAAATGAAGAAATATATATATATATATATATATATATATATATTATACTTTCGATATGCGAACGAGAAAGCAATTCAAAGGAATGACGTAATAAAATAAAATATTAAAAAAAAAAAGATATGAACACATTGTGACCATTATATTTTATAAATAAAAAAAAATTGACATGTGATATAGATGGTAAGGCACGCGGACGATGCGATGCGATGCATTACGAAAGCAAATGTATTCTGTATATCGTTTCATTAAATCTATTAAAATAACCGACGTTCTTTTTCCCTTTCGTAACCCCGTTTGCTGATCATGAATTGCAAAACAGGTATTCGAAGGATCGTCAATAGTCTGAAGGGATCCTGACGGTTTTCAAGGGTCCCGCGACTTTGCATAGAGCGCACCTGGCGCTTAAATACCAGTCGTGAAACCTGAAATCTAAAGAATTATATTTTCTCTTCGAATTGCAATGTGTATTATGATTAACAGTTTCATTTTATAATTTCTTTCAAGACCAAAAACTGCACATTTTTCAAATAACGTACTGTTTCAAAGTCGTAAGTTGTCTTTTTAAGTTCGTTTGAAGATCTATTCCTCGGTATATTTCTCTTTATATTTAAACAATTTAATATCTAACAACGGATGGAGACAAAGCGTTCAAATGTGAATCGCGTGAGCGTGCAGCTGCAGAGTGTGCAGAATTTCAAAATTAACCGGCATAACGGTTATGTTTAGGGCGGCAAGCGTGAGAGCGCTGGCAGCGGTTGTAGATGGCAGTTCCGGCACCGTGTCCACATGCGCAGAAGGAAGTTTGCACGGCGCACAGAGAAAATAGTCCGCGCTCGAAGAGACACGACGATCGCTTCGAGAAACGTGACACTCGTGACAGTAGTTTTGCAACGTTTACGCGATCCCGAATCAAAGTTTTAAAGCTAATTGATAGAAGTTGCACGTCGAGCGTACATATTGTCTCTGTTTAAAGAACAAAAGATTCATCTCTACGATAGCAAAGGGCGCGGGTATCACTGCGCTGCACGTTGTGGAAGGAAGCAGAAATCGAGTAACTAGCAGGAAGTGGGTAGAAGGGGGGTACGTCGTTGAGCTAGTTGATTTGGTGGTGGCTACATGTGGCTGTCCGCCGGTCACGACACGGAGACATTTCCTAACTGGGCATAAAAATTACATTTTCCAAGGATAATCGATCGCCGAAAGAAGCTGAAATCATGCAGATGGACCCAACGACGGTGCAACTGATCCAGGTCCTCGAAAGGACCGTGTCGTCAGGTGGGTCATTTGATTAATCGGGTTCGAGCTAACGGCGACATCATGGAGTTGAGATTCATTTTTATTGGTTACTTTGTTCCCCTTGACCTTGCTTTCCTTCTTGTTTCACGAAACATGTCGCTCAACGAACGCTCTTTGATGATTTTCACGATATTGCCTGGAAAAGTAAAATCCTACCGCGTGCGCGTCCTTTACCAATTCCTTCCGGTATGTTCGGAGGGTAATTGATATCTCGGCGGAGTAATGCTTTTATCGATTTCTTGGAAATTTTTCTACACGAATACGTTAATATTTGATGAGAATTTCTCGTTTGTACGATAATACGTCGTATTGGGCTCCGTTTGGCTGTTGCTAGGGGCTTTGTTCGCCACCGGAAAAGTATTGTCCCAATGTGACGGTTACTCCTATTGCACGTCCCCGTTGTCGGTTGGCACGGCGAATACGGGTGCATCGTGCTTTTCTAACCTCTAAACGTTGCCACAAATCTTTATTGCTTGTCATTAGTTAAATGATTAGCTCAAAAATTCATCATGTTAATAATTTTAATTTCCATTTGCAATTTCAGATAAAAATGAGCTGGAGGCAGCTCAGAATTTTTTGGAACAGGCAGCACAAACTAATTTTGTAAGTTGTTCAACCTTGAAAATTAGGCTGCTTTTAAAGTGGAGCAATGGAAATTCTAAAACTAACAGTACATTTTATATTTTACAGCATGAGTTCTTGCAAAGACTCAGCGGCGTGCTGGTTACTGCCGCTGCAAGCTCAGTTGCCCGTATGGCAGCAGGTCTTCAGCTCAAGAATCAACTTACATCCAAAGATGTCCAATTGAAATATCAATATCAACAACGCTGGCTTCAAATTCCTGTAGAAACTAGGGAATTTATTAAGAAAAATGTAAGATTCTTTTGTCTAAACCTGTGTTTCTTCTCTTATAGTGGCATTCTATAAACTTTGTATGGTTTCAATTTAAAGATTTTTGGAGCACTTGGAACAGAAAACAATAGGCCAAGTTCTGCAGCACAGTGTGTTGCATATGTTGCTGTTACTGAATTACCTGTTGGCGAATGGACCAACATCATTCAGTTGCTAGTCAACAATGTTGTTAACCCAAACAGTACTGAAATAATGAAAGAGGCGACGCTAGAAGCCATTGGTTACATTTGTCAAGATATAGAAAGCGACGTTTTGGTACCTCAGTCTAATCACATTCTCACTGCTATTATTCATGGCATGAAAGGATCTAGTACTTCGCATCACGTTCGGCTTGCTGCTACTAGTGCACTCTACAACTCCTTAGAATTTACCAAAGGAAATTTCGAAATAGAGGTTAGTTTCGATTACAAGAGGTTAACACCGAAGTATAACTTTAGAATCGTAATTTAATCCAATTTTTTCTTTGTGCAGTCAGAGAGAAACTTCATCATGGAGGTGGTGTGCGAAGCAACGCAATCTGTAAATACGCAAGTTAAAGTAGCTGCTTTACAGTGTCTTGTGAAAATTATGTCCTTGTACTATCAGTATATGGAGCCGTATATGGCTCCAGCGCTATTTCCTATTACTTTAGAAGCCATGAAATCAGATATCGACGAAGTTGCACTTCAAGGAATTGAGTTCTGGTCGAACGTATCGGAAGAGGAAGTCGATCTATCGATGGAGGAAGGTGAAGCTTCCGACGGTGGTCGACCACCGGTTAAAGTATCGAGGCATTACGCAAAGGGAGCTTTGCAATTTTTGGTACCTGTTCTAATGAAAAAACTTACAAAACAAGAAGAATTCGATAACGAAGACGATTGGAATCCTTCGAAAGCCGCAGGGGTGTGTTTAATGTTATTGTCTTCTTGTTGCGAGGAGGCCATTTTCCCATACGTTCTTCCTTTCGTCAAGGACAATATCAAAAGTCCCGACTGGAGGTTTCGAGATGCTGCCTTGATGGCTTTTGGTTCGATTCTCGGAGGATTAGATCCTGGCTCCGTTAAGCCGTTAATAGAGCAAGCTATGCCAACGTTGATAGAATTAATGTACGATACCAGCGTCGCGGTAAGGGACACGGCTGCTTGGACGTTCGGTCGTATTTGCGAGATCATACCGGAAGCGGCGATCAACGACACGTACTTGAAGCCATTATTAGAAGCCTTGATAAACGGTTTGAAGGCAGAGCCTCGCGTCGCGGCGAACGTTTGTTGGGCGTTTACAGGGCTCGCGGAAGCCAGCTACGAGTCCGCACAGACAGACGAGGATGGACAACAGCCTGATACCTATTGTATGTCTCCGTACTTCGATTTCATTATCCAGAGATTGTTGGAAACGACGGATCGCGCGGACGGAAGTCAGGCCAACTTGCGATCAGCCGCGTACGAGGCTTTAATGGAGATGGTCAAGAATTCTCCGCGAGATTGTTACGTGACGGTGCAAAAAACTACGATGGTGATCCTAGAGAGGTTGCAGCACGTACAGCAAATGGAAACACACATCCAAACTCACACGGATCGTGCTCAATACAACGACCTTCAATCGTTGCTGTGCGCCACCTTGCAATCCGTACTGCGTAAAGTTACACCGGAAGATGCGCCACAGATTTCCGACGTGATCATGACCGCGCTCTTGTCCATGTTCAATTCGAACTCCTGCAAAGAGGGTGTACAGGAGGACGCGCTCATGGCTGTTTCGACCTTGGTCGAAGTGCTGGGAGAAGGTTTCCTGAAGTACATGGACGCGTTCAAACCGTACCTCTGTTTGGGCTTGAAAAATCACGCTGAATACCAGGTTTGTTGCGCCGCCGTGGGTCTGACCGGCGACATTTGCCGCGTCTTGAGGAACAAGATGCTGCCTTACTGCGACGAGATCATGACCCTGTTACTGGAGAACCTTAGTAACAACACGGTTCATCGTTCGGTGAAGCCTCAGATTTTCTCCGTTTTCGGCGATGTCGCTCTAAGCATAGGTCCTGAATTCAAGAAGTATCTGGACGTTGTGCTGCAGACATTGGCACAAGCCTCCCAGGCTAACGTCGATAGGACTGACTACGACATGATCGATTATCTGAACGAATTACGCGAGGGTGTTTTGGAGGCTTACACCGGTATCGTGCAAGGATTACGCGGCGACATGTCGAATGCTTGCCCGGATGCTGCGATCGCTCTCGTAGAGCCCCACGTGCCCTTTATCATTCAATTCATCACGTCGATAGCACAGGATCGGGAACATTCTGAAGGCAACATATCGGCCTCGGTAGGCTTGCTCGGCGACTTGGTTACCGTATTCGGGGCAAAATTGTTGCCAATGGTAGAGACTGAACCGCTCACCGACTTGCTAACCAAGGCCAGACGATCGCGCACTCAAAAGACTAAAAGTTTGGCCAACTGGGCAACCAAAGAGATTCGAAAGCTCAAGAGTGCTGCCAACTCAACGTCCAGTTGGTGAGTAAAAATTTTCCCCTTCTCTCTTCGTGTATTATCTTTCTTTTCTTTCACCTTTGTTTTTATTTCTCATCATTTTCGTGTGAACGATGTGTGGTGCGTGTATTTCAGTCACTATCTCCGCCCGTAATGCCTTTACCGTTTTATTTGTCGAAACCTTTCATCTTATTCTTTGCAACGCCCTCTTCTGTTTCATGCTACTTTTCGCTGTGTTTAACTTGACTCGTTCACAGAGACCTGCTTTCCAAAGAACGATACAAGTGGTACAAAAGTTAGGACAAAGATGCAAGTAAGATAGAATAGGGTTGGGTGGGTGGTGGTGGTGTAGGGTCAGGTGTACCATATTGAAGGTTAAGTTGCATCTTTTCCTGGAATGAAGATTGGAGGGTTAATATAAAGGAATATTTATTTGTAAATACAAAGAGACGTTTAAATTACTGTTAAATGATACTTCTCTATATCTTCGTTTGAGAAAGAGAGTCAGCTTAATTCTAGTGTCCAGTTTCGTTTTGTTGTTGTTGCTGCTGCTGTTGCTGCTTATCGTTTCCCTTGTCGTAGCCGTGATATCGCGTGAATACGTGTACTCGACACGGAGATCGTATCTAAGAAAAATAATTAAAAAACAAAACAAATTAATAAATAAAAATTCGTAAGAGACCCGGTGAGCGACGGTTATTGATATTTGGCTCGCTTTTGTTGTTTACAGATCACCCCACGGTTGTACTGTCGTGCAATTTGATTTGACTAGAAAGCTATCGAACACAATGCAAAGACAACAAGATTGGATGGTGCGGATGCGAGTTGATGGATGTGCGTGAGTTCCAAAAGCGATGACGATGATGATGGGGTGATGAGTCTGCACGTGTCCCTGCTCTGGCGACGGTATTCGAGTACCGACACGTCGAGCGCAGCCCAATTGGTCGAGACTCAAACAAAAAACAAAAACAGAATACAAAAAAAAAAAAAAACAAAAAATAAATAAAAGAACAAACGAAAGAATACCTGTCTGCCGGATGTCTGCCGACAACTGATGGTGAGGAGTGCAAGTGGATTGTTGCCGATGAATGAGCCAAGGCCGAAGCCTGCCTGCCGAGATGATGTTCCGGTGATGCAAGTATGCCTGATAACGAGCCTGGGGCTTCTACCCGCGTGATTGAGAAGTTGAACCTGAGGAAAGGACGACTTCGATGGACAATGATCGTGGCCAGTGAGAAAGAATACGAGAGAAAGGGAGACAGATGAATGAGAAAGAAGATTAAAATGTGATAGAGAAATTAAGTGAGAGAAAGAAAGAGAGAGTGAGAGAGAAAGAGAGACTGTACAATTAATAGTGTATGAGAGTAATTGATCGAGAGAATGAAATTTTTTCCTATACGTATGCGTGTGATAGTCGTATATATTATTAAATAAAACGCCATCGAACGAACGATTGTGCATCGTCTCGCAGAAAGTACATTTATTACGCGTACTCGTTGTAAAGCTCGAGCTTTTTTTTTTTTTCTCCAAACTGTAGCTTATCAACGAAGCGTGTACTATCATTTCGATTCCTCGCTGAAACGATCATCATCCGCTCGATAGATGAGAATCGAAGCGTCATCGTGTCGTATGTTTGCTGGCGTGATTCACAGTTAACGAGCGAAATAAATGATCGTGAAAATATGATGATTGCTATCCGATGCAGCGAAATGTTGCGTGATTGCGTCTAGACTAACAGAAAGCGAGGGAGTGAAAGAGAAAAGAGGAACGTGATGAACGTTGAATGATTGTAAAGAAGAAAGGAGAAGATTTAATAAACGAAACTAAAAGGTCGGAAAGATTCGAAATACTGGTGACCCCCTGGTCCCCGATCATGCTGCGCGAGAATCCAAACGATCAGTTGTAGTATGATGATGCGTATGTTATTTTTTTTTCCCCCCGTATGTGAATGTCTGTTGCTGTTGAATAATTCATTAAAATTAATATTTTGCTGGCATAAGTTATTGAGTTGTACCGAAGTCCTCGTCCGGCCTGAACGTTCGTGAAGATACACACAAGAGCGTGAAACGAAAAAAAGAAAAACAAAAAATCGAATGTCTAGCCCCACCCCCCTAAAATATAATCTACCCAATTTGTTGATCGTAGTCCTGCGTTAGATACAAGAATAATTTTGTACACGATCATCGGTCTCGTTGGAAAAATTACGTAGCGATCTTCGAGGAAGCCCATATATCAGACGAGAGCTTTTTCGCACTGCCAATTATATCATGGGACAATGTTTGCCCCGGACACTTTCTAATCTCTCGTTCCTTCCTTTCGAATTTCAAGAACCTCGAGAGATATCGATAACAAGCTCGAGGTTGCATACTGTCGAAGAAGTCGTCTTCCTGGCCTATCTGGCTTTATCGTAGAAGGGCATTCGTCGAAGATCGAATAAATTATGCGAATTATTTCATTCGTATTTTATTCAGGTACTCAGAGTACTATGATCGTGTAAATCGTGACCCTAGTTAAAAGAAAGGTACTTGGTGTACCTATACACCGGTTAACAAAAATGGCTTCCCTTGAGGAGATCCTTTATCCTCGCACTTAGGTCATTATTAGTTAAGGCAACAGTCATTTAGTAAGTTTGTAAATTCGTATGTTAGATAGTGCTTTAAGTGGAAGGATAGGATGTTCCTAATGGGGGAGAGCCATCGATGCCAGGTAGTTTACTTTTGGGGACGCTTCAAGTACCTTGACTTTTAAGGATTAGGGTAACTTAGGATACTTTTTCGCTTTCGTACACTGTCCCGTTAGACTTCTGTTGAATCCTGAAACGAGCGTACACGGAGAATAAGGGACGTCGTTGAACCCAGTCGAAGGGTTAATGAGGGAGAAATTAATTTAGTTTTGTCCTCTGCTCATAGTATTCCGGCCTCGCGGATGAGATTCCTATTAGATTGTTGTTCTTAGTAAGATTTCACGGGAAAGATTAAACGGACGGATGGTCGGTCGGTCGGTCGCCTCTAATAATATAATACGAAGTTACGTCACGTTACCGAAAACGTGGCCGTGGTTAGTGCCATTGCATTCCAAATACTTTTGCCAGCGGAAAGCACTATATTAACGTGTTAGACCACCGTTCTTTCGCGCGATTGTCGGAACTGTACATTTTAAAGCGTTTTCATTAATAATCTTACTTACACACTTTTCTCGAGTACGCCTCGTTTTTACGCGAAACTTTTACGTACGGACACGACATATAAAGAGATGTTACGTGGAAAATTAACACCCGGCTGATGATGGCGGTGGTGGGTGATGAGTGGATGGTTCCTTCGACGGGGACCATCCTGGAACAAAAATGAGACAAACGTGTTTCGATGAAATCAAAATGATAAATTTAAATAAAAAAGCGAGGAACAACATTGGCGTAATACAAAGAAGAGACACATACGATATAAAAAAAAAAAAAATGGATAAAAATAGGGAATTGATGAGGGACGATTAAACTAAGAGACTTTTTATTAAATTGATTATCTTTTTTACGATTTTACATATCGAAGGATAACCGATGTGTCAGCTCCACGTCTGGATACAAATAAATATATATATACGTATATAATTTTTTTACTGTTGCGAACGATATTGCCAAACTTAGCGTATAAGGAAGAAAAGTTTATCTAGCTTTTAAAAAAAAAAAAAAAGAAATGACTAACCGTGAAAGAAAATGAGGGGGAGGGTGGGAGGGTAGTACAGGGAAATTGTTTCGGTTCGAGCCGCTCGTTAAATAGACTGGAGCCTAAACCTTGATCTCTTTGCAGTACACGCGCATAAATTCTCTCTATAGTATTCGATCGATCGGTAATTATTACTGAATTATTTTCAAGTAAATAATCAGACATTTTTTAACCCTTTCTCTATGACCATCATTAAACGCTTCCTTACGTTTGTATATTACAGTATGTAATTTAATATTATTTTCATTTTGAAAAATCAGAAATGATGTTAACGATCACTGATCCATTTCATATGTATATCGTTTTATCCTTTCGATTTTCGACACAGAAAGAAATTCCAGCAGACGAAACACGGTGTCTTCCAATCGCGACAAAATTTTACCTCCTTTCAAAACGCAGCTTTGCCTTGCAGTCCATGATGATGTTTACCAAAGTTGATACCTTGACTTAGAAAAAGAAAAGGAAACGAAAGTGGTTGTTCCGAGTCCAAAGAAGAATGCTTTTCTTTTACATTCCATGTAGCAGAGAGAGAGAGAGAGAAAATGAAAACATGAGAAGAGAGGAAGAACGTGAGAAAGTGAGAACGAAAGAGTGAATATGAGAATGAAAGAGAGGAACCACGACGGAGAGGACAGCGGTGCGTGTTTTTCTGCGACTTGATAAAGAACTCGATCGCTCGCCTGTTCTTCTGATTCGCAAACAATTTGATAATTACACCCTCGAGGTAGGCCGTGTCTGAGCTTTCAGGGATAGTCAGAGTTGTCCTGAAGGGGGTGGACGAATTTTCTGATCATTTGCATCAGTAGAACGCCATTTATCTTATTTTTTTATTAATCCATCAATCATTTTTAAACTAAAGGGTTTTATTATTTTGGAAGAATAATTTTGAAAGAACAGTATAAAATTTAGGAAATGAAAATAACGTGAAATAGAAAATTAAATTAAAATTGAGACTCTCTTCATGGTCCGCCGTCTGAGGGTTAACAGAAGAAAAATCAGATATTTTCAGAGTATAATTTCCTTCAAATAAATGGAGTTATACTGTATTTATAAAAACGATAAAAATTCATAAAATTTGCCCACCTTAGATTCACTCTGAATATTCGAGCATACGATTATAATTTCTTACGAATCGTTTGCGAATCACGTTATTTGGTCCACAGAGAGAGCCTAAATAGAAAGGAAAAAAGGAAACGAAACGCGAAAAAAAAGGTAGGAAACGGTCGTGGTTAGATAGGGGCTTTTTACTGCGAGTAAGCCGAGAGGGTAGGAAACTAGGAAATGAAACGCCGGCCGTGCCGAGTAACGAAGTGAAAATGAGGAATACAAATGAAACAAATTATATTATATACGCGACTGTGATTTTTTGGAGAGACTCTCGTGTGCGAGGGGTCGACGTTCTACCCTGAAGGGAGCTTGTCTCTCTCGGTGTTCTCGTATCTCTCAAACTCATCGATCCCCTCAAAGAGTTCAATTAAAACAATCAAACGATCTATGCTAATCAATATTGCAACGTGACAGTCAACGATATACAATTGATCAACACGAGCGATTAAGATAATATCTTCCCCCTAACGTTCTAGTTCTTTTTTTTTTTTTTTTTCTTCTTCAATGGACACTGGTTCCAGTCTAACGCGCACACATAAATACACAGGTGAATAATAAAACGAGAGATCGAGACGCGATAGACACGTGCTCCCTGAATCAAACTCATACACGATAATATCTTTTATCGAACTATTAGTTGTTAGCCTTTTCATCGTCGAGACTCCTAGAGTGCGTGCGATGCTTCGATAGGGAACGCAAGTGAGAGCGTATTTAAGTGATAAGTATATTAAAAAAAATACACACAGAAAAAAATGAACAAAAAAAAAAAAGAGATGAGAAAGAAAGCGTGTGCATTACGCTGTATCAGTGATGATGTGCGCTGTGAAGTAAACTTTAACTGATCGGGTGTGTCCTGTATCGGTGTTGCGAGTGATAGAGATAGAAGAAAGAAAGCGATCAAACGAGAGATAGAGTGAAAGAGAATTGGAAGAAGATTTGATTGTTGGAGGGATGACGAAGAGGGGGGTTGGCTCGTGATTCGACGTGAATCACGGCGTGTCACCGTTCAGGATGGGACGAATTTGTAAAAAAACGAGCAAAGATGGAAATAAGTAAAAATAAAAAAAAAAAAACAAAGAATACTAAATAAATAAAAAGAAGTTATATAAATTTTGTATCGTGACGCGGTTAAAAAGATCGGAGAACCTGTCTCTGAGATCATCTTGTTTGAAATTTAAGAAAAGCTGGATAAAATAAAGAAGACAGGATTCAACGAAATAAAACTGCTACACGAGCCGAACAATAATCCAAATCGCACAGAAGAATACTTATTAATTAATGTTTCTTTTTTTCTTGCGAGAGACTCTTCAGCTGGGCTGACAGGGTGCTCGAAGGCAGAATTCTCCGTTCTTGGATAGATTCGCGGTTCTACGTACGAGACAATATTTTCGATAATATTTTTTCAATCGTGATCGAATCGCGAAACACGAGGCCAACGCGTACGAGCTGTTGTTGTTCCAAAGCGTCAGAGACGTGGCACGGTAATGGTAGGAGAGAAAGGGGTTGAAGATGGATTGTTCCGTGAGATGCCTATTTTATCACTCGATATTTTTGTTCCGATTTTCGACTCGTGAATGTCGAGAGCCACCGTGCCATTACCGTGCACGCAACCGTGTGATTTATTCTAGAGAATTAAAGGGAAGCAAGATGAAAAAAAAAAACTAAGAAAAATTACAAAAAAAAAAATGAAGAGCGTAATTATAGTAATAAAGAGAGTCAGCAGAGTGAGAGATGGACGTTTTTTTGTGATGATTTTGCGAAGAGATAGAAGAAGAGTGAAAGAATGCTGTCGAGTGCTGCCGATTCAATGATCGGACCCTAAAAAAAAAATCATATAATTTACGCATGTGAACGAATTCGGGCGATAAACGTGGGCAAAAAGGAAGAAAGAAAATGAATAAACGAGAACACAAGTTGGATGAATTCCTGTTTCAAATTTGCTCACCCTCTCCAATCTTTTCTTTTTATTCCTTAACACGTTGACTGCCATGCAAAGTCGGATTAATGGGGTCTGAGGGGGACTAGAGTCCTGGGACCATTGTAAGTCTTCTATTTAGTACGTTAAAAAATATCGAATAACATTATTTTTTATTTAGAATAAATTTCAATTTTTAGGAGATTATATTTTGATTCTTCTGCCACGCTGAAGTTGGGAATTTCATTAGGTAATACTTATATTTTTGACAGATTTTATCTATTGAGTGACGTAGCAGTCAACGTGTTAAACTCACTTACCCAATTTTCAAAATTTTGAATCATAATAATCCTAAATAAATAATATGCAATTTAAGGATCGTCAGAAAATTTAGGAGAGGGTGCCAAACCTTCATTTCATTTCGGTTTGTGTCAGTCGTGTGATATTGCGGAGCCTGTGTTTCAATGAAGATGTATTTCTAAATGACAACGATTACATGTGACGTCGGCTAATATTGTTCATCCGAGTGCCAGAGCGATCGTGGAATGATTGTTCTGGAAATTGTGTGCTTCAAAACGTACATGTACAATCGGTCACATTAATGGATCGTCGAAGATTTGTTTACCACGGAAGGGAAGCAAACAAACGAACAAGTGAAATAATCAGTGAGCAACAAAAACACCCACGTTTGAGCGACGAAAGTCCAAAAGTCGTATCGAAGATTCGCCATTCATTCCTTTTTTCCCTTCTGAATAATCTTATCTATTTTTTGCGCTTGTCACCGGGAAAATTTCACGAATTTTTTGTTTATCTGGCTGGTCATTAATGTGGCTGACCGTATATTATCGTTCATGTGTGTACAAGTAACAGTGCCATATGATAATACGATACATCATTTCGATTGCTAACGTCACGGTTCATCGTCCTGACGATCATTAAAAAAAACAAAAAAGGAAACACGAATGCGATCTATACACACTTCCTTTAAAAATCTTGTAACAAGAAGAAAAGATCCTTATGCGAATTGCTTCTACATTATCTCAGCGAATTTTTTATCTTTTTTTATTACCTTTTGTTTTCATCGATGAAATTGCCCAAAATAAATTCAGTTTTGGAATCTGTACACACGTAGTGGTGCCATTTTTACCAGTGGTCGTCGCTCGTACTTTTCACCTCGATCCGTCGCTCGTGATAAAATACATTCGTAGATGGATCTGGGTAAAAATGGGAAAATGGGTTCCTGCAATTTCAAAAGGTTAATTTTATTCAGTTACAAAAATACAATAAAAATGTTCCAAACAAGCCAATAGCACGCGTCTCCTTATACGGTCCTTTGCTTCATCAATTAGATTACCCCGGATTAAAACGGAAGCCGTACACCTCGCGATACCAAGAAGTTCCCGTAATTTTCGATATCGTACAAAAATACCGAGGTCGACGGTTAAACGATATCGCTTTTTTATCTTCTTGATTTGTGCATTTTATCTGACTGAATTCAAAGTACACTCGCGTGATTTATTCCACGCGCATCGAAATGATCGATCGCAATGAAAAAAGCAGACCGTATAATTCAGATGAAAAATATACGGATGATTCAGAGAAAAGAATTAGAGGATGAAAAAAAAAGAGATCGTTTTTGTTTAGATATTTTGCATAAACTTGTAGTGCATTCGAGGAATGAATCGCACGGCCGCCTAGCAGCATGTGTCAGCAGTGTTCCTAATCTCCTCTAAGTACCCTTAACCCAATTGAATTAGAAGGGCACAGGCCGTGGCACGCGCCGTTAAACTCATTTCTCCTGCATTTCCTCGATTCTCTTTTCCGCGCGCGAAACGCGGCCGCGAGTGCGTGCGCGAGTTCACCTTTTTATCATTTTGCGAATAACATTGCCTGGTGTGCTTGTACACTTTCAAAGAAACAAACAACGTTGTTGTTCTCTCCGTTGAAAGTTTCGTAACAAGTTACCCAATAATCCTGATAATCGGCTGCAATCTTAGAACAGCAAACAAATTTCTTTTTACCAATTTCCAATCTCCTTTCATCCATTTCTCTTCTGTTTTTAACAAAAAAACACGAGTAACAAGTGAGAAAAAAAAAAATAATGAATTGTCGAAAAGAGCAAGCTTTGTGAAGAATGTTGAGAGGGATGGATTTGATACAGTGACATCGACTGATTGATCTTCTAATTGATTTAATCGTTTGGATTCGTGTCTTACCAGAACTCGCTAAAAAGAGACAGCTGGATATCTGAATACTAGATACACACTGGTCGGTCGTTGGTTCGAGGACATCGCGGGGGAGGACACCCTCGCGTCACGATCAGCAAAGGGAGAACCGTCGGTACAGGATGGAACGAATGGCATATCGGTCGCACAACCATCGGCAAGGAGCTAATACACATCACGTAACGCTTTTCTAAGGTATCGGAGACGTTTCGGTAGACTAGACGTGGGCTAAGTGCACGAGGATGGACGATAATCAAAGTGCAGGAAACGCCAAGACCACCGGGACCGCGGACGATGAAGTAAGTTGTTCCATTGCAACCCCTCGATCGTCTATTCTTTGGATTAATGAATGAAACTGTTAGGCTCGTCGTTAGAGGATTTTTTCATTGTCATCGTGATTAACAAGGAACCTTTTGTAGATTTTTTAAAATTCTTCATATTTATGGAACTAGGGGATCTAAGGGAGACTTCAGCTTTGGACCCCATTTTCCAAAAATTCCTAATTATTACTGTAAAACTAAATCCTCATAAATTTCAATTTTTTAACCAAATATATCAACCGAAAGGTCCTCGAAGGTGTGATAGCCCCAGAAATCTTAATCCTGTTTTGAAAATAACCAAATTTAATAATAAGATTCAGGTGTCGAATGGATTAATGATCATGATTAAGAGATGGAAGTTTCGTATCGTAGGAGGGCTTTGATCTGGACGATCTTCTCCCGACTGTCGGGGAGTTCGGTCGCTACCAGAGGCAACTCCTTTGGTTCGTATGTCTTCCGGCGTGTCTGCCCTGCGGGTTTTGTGCCTTCAACCAGCTTTTCATGGCCGACACGCCACCCCATTGGTGCAACGTGCCAGGCTTGGAAAGCCTGGACATCTCCCGTAGAAGGAGACTCGCGATTCCTACTATTCAGGTGCAATTGTTGTTCTAGGTCCACTTTCGAAAAGTAACACTGTGCCTTAGGTTATCCAATGCTAGCCATCATTTCACCATGGTTACTACATATTTATCCTTTGTATCTTTATGCTTTTTAATATGTTGGCTGTCATAGAATTATCAGTGGTCGACGGCACAAATTAATTATGAAATGAAAAGCTTCAATTAGAAAATAAAAGGATTGTATTCTTGAGGCTTCTTATTGAAGTGCGCCGTACAATTATTACTGTGTCAATCAACCTTGTTAGACCCTGCTCGTTTCTATTCATCGTATCCACCTCTATTGTCCCTGGCTATTATGCTAGCTGTAGAAATCTGGCATTCTATTCGATTGTACTATTGTAACGTTAGCTTTCATAATTAGGACGACAATGAAACGTACAGTCAATGCACACGATACGATATCGATTGGACAGCTAAGAATATTTCTGTCGTGACGACAGCTTCGTACGTACCAAACACGTCGTGGCCTGTTGTACCATGCGACCATGGTTGGGAATACGAGACATCGGAAGTCGTGTCTTCCATCGTTATTGATGTAGGTTTTTAACCATCGTTAACATTCTTTTTTTTTATCAGGGGCGGACAGAAGTTAAATTTTTACTGAGAACTTAGTGACACGATGAGCCCTAATTTTAATAAATTAGACCTTAAATCCTTACTGGGTTCATCGGAAATTTTCCTGAACTACCAATGGCCAGCCGTCCCTGATTTTAACTCGAAATTTCACAGACACCTTGCAGCTGATATTAGAATTAACGATAATGATTAATGACGATTAATGATATTTCAGTTCAATCTAGTGTGCGACTATGCAATTTATCCAACGATCGGTTTGGTCGCCTTGAACACAGGAGGACCCATAGGCGTGTACCTGTTCGGCACTCTAAACGATAGGTAATTATCTGTTATAAAAAACATTAATCATTTTATCACAAAGTATGTCTTACGTTTCGTAGAATCGGTAGAAGGCTATCGTTTTTCACCTGTTTGGCGACGTTAATCACCGGTGGTTTTTTAACCTCCATGTCGAACAGTTTCTGGACATGGGCTGCTACACGTGTTGTCGTCGGTTTAACCATTCCAGCTATTTATCAGATACCATTCATCATATGTAAGCACTGTAAAGATAATACACAACATTGATTCTTAGAAGCATTAATTTTTATTGATTTTTCTCTGAACAGCTCTGGAACTTGTTGGACCAAATTATCGGTCTTTTGTGACGGTAATGACATGCAGTTTTTACACAATGGGCCTGTGTATGTTGGCTGGTGTGACTTATTTGATAAGAGATTGGAGAACGCTTGCTCTATCAACAAGTGCACCTTTTCTCTTATACTCGTTATATTGGTGGTGAGTGATTTCTATAGAATTCTAATTTACCACTACACCTATTTTATTTCTCAGTGTAAAATTACAATTTAGAAATTAAATTAGTCATTTTTATGTAAAACAGGTTTCTCCCAGAGTCGCCTCGATGGTTGTTGGCGAAGGGTCGCCTAATCGAGGCTAACGATATCCTCGAGAGGCTGGCAAAGGTAAACGGGAAAGAGTTACCAGCTTCTTTCACGCAGAAATTACGGCAACGAATGATGATGTCACGGTCGAAAAGCGAGGAGGAACGATTACGTAGCGGACCTGGTGTTTTGTCCCTTTTCAAGACTCCGAATATGCGTCTGAAAACATGCTTGATCACTCTGAATTGGTAAAATCAAAATCCAAACAGCTGATAAGGCGATACGTCAACATTCCAATTTTATGTTTGTTATTTTCGATCAAAATAAGTTTTGGCACAGTCCTCGAGATAATTTTATTTGCTACTCTGAGGTTTGTTTATTCTTAAAGTAGCTCGTCATTGTTTTTGTTTTTCTTCCAGATCTGTCTACAGACTGCCACTTTAGTCACAGAAAAATTAATTTCAAATAATTAAAAATTTTTTAATAAAAAATTTCTTTTTTAGGTTTGCTAATAATATGGTGTACGTGGGTTTGTCGTACTATGGCCCGGCATTGGGGAACGAAGAACACCTGAGTTTCTTTTTCTCATCCCTCGCAGAAATTCCAAGTTATATGGCTTGTTGGGTCGTGATGGATCGATGGGGTCGTCGCTGGCCTCTTTGTTTAAGCATGGTCGTCGCTGGAGTCTCGTGCATCGCCACTGTTCTCTTGTCACCGGGTACTCGACTTCAATTCCTTATCATTTAGAAAAGAAACAACTCCATTACTCCGGCAATAAATCTTGAAACATTGATATCATGAGAAGTTCAGACAATCTTGAAAGTATGAATATAATTTTTTTCATTGACTATCAATACAGTCAATATGTTTGTTTCGTTAAATCCCCCCACCCCTAATTGCGTCACTGATACCTCAATCAATCCCTTTTCTCTAATTTTTACGTTTTTATTTTTTACAGATGCCGTGGTGACCACGTTGATTTTGTTCCTCCTATCGAAATCCGCGATATCGGCCTCTTTTCTAATTATATACCCGTTCGCTGGTGAACTTTACCCCACGCAACTGCGCGGCATAGCGATTGGTTTCTCTGCTTACATCAGTGGTCTCGGACTTATCATCATTCCTTTTGTTACGTATCTCGTGAGTGATCGTAAATAGGCTTATCTCGTCTTTTCCACTGTCGAACGAATCGTATAAGAGCATTTACGTCATTCCTGGCAGGGTAAGGAGAACTTGGTGTTGCCGTTAGTAATTCTCGGCGTGGTATCGGTTATCGGTGGACTGTCTGGCTTGCGTTTACCCGAGACTCTCCATCATCGATTGCCTCAAACCGTGGAGGAAGGGGAGTTGTTCGGGAAGGATTGGACATGTGCCGACTGCTTCCGTTGCGTCCCAATCAAGTGCGAAACCATTAATAGATGTACATTCTTATTTCTTCGAAATTCCATCGATAACCTTTGTAATTACATTTGCAGACCTTCATCAGCTGCAGCTTCTTATGAGGATCTTTCAGCAAGAGAGACGGTGGAGATGCACGAAGTACCGGAGGCACCGATTCCTCAGAGATTGCTAGAAGACCAACAAAGACCGAGCGGTGCTAGTGTGCGCCGTTTGGTCCGTCAGTCTAGCGTGATGGACACGCAAAGGGACTCGGATGGGTCCATCAAGATGACTTACTGGTTCTAGAAAACCTCGAGTTTACAAATAAAACCGAATCATGAAACGACAGAGGTATTATCGCCTCTCTCCATCTTCCTCATTCTGTACAATTGAATTTGAATTTTCTGAGAGTGGAATTAAACTTTTGTTCGCCTGTTATATAATTTATTGTAATCATTTTCTGGGGGGCCAGATTAGAATTTTGGAATTCTAGAAACTTAATGATGGAGACAGTCCACAATTTTTGGAGGGGCCAGACCCACGCTCTTCTCCCACCTAGTTATTAAAAAATAATCGTTCAATGCATTCGAATTTTGATTCGAATAACAGAGATCGCCTTGTCGTGTACATTTTGCAATTTATTCCCACAGTTGGTATACAAAACACGAGGATTAAGGTTTGGAGAAACAAAAGTGTGAGAAGTCAGCCATGGAACCGACTGGTGGAATGGATCGAGCTGTCCGTGCTTTCTCGATCGAATTTTTGCCTGTATTTCCCCTATGTCTTCGATTCAAAGTCGTGTCGTTCTGTTGTAGCAGCTGAAAATACAAGAACGTCGATTCGTACACGTATCATATGTTCTTTTACTTCGGTTATTTACCTCTCCAGTAATCGCCGCTTTAGCTCGGGTGGATAGGCTACGTAGATGTAATGATCGGGCATGTCCTCGTTCGAAATAGGTAAATTCTCGTCCCCAGGTTCGCCTTTTCTTCTGTCTGTTGATCTACTCTCCCCGAGACCACTCGGATCGTGTAACGGTGACGTAGCCGTGTAATCTCCATCCGTGTAGTCCATACTTCCGGTCCCGTCTAATCTGTCTTCCTCCGCTGAACTGACATATCAAAGTTCCACTTCAAATATCATGTATTCTTAATTGTTTAGTCTTTAGTGTACGTTGTGCAAAGAAAAATCTGTTTCATGATAAAACCATGATAGGAGGAACTTGAGTGGCACCTTTGATAATCACTTTTTTATACTCAATTATGATTGATAACTCTCGTGACGGAATACACTGTTTACAAAGATTCTGCTAGTGATTATAGGTTTCGTTACGCGACAACAGAGATTTTTCTTATTTTTTTCAGTCGCGGATGCGTTACGAAACTCTGACGGCTACTATTTATATCTCTCGAAAATATTTCATTAACCTCGAGTATTTTCGTGCGCCACGTATGATAATGTTGACAATTCACCGACTTTTTAAATATTTTCTGTACGCCTTTTTAAATCAAAACAATCTTTCTATCATTTTATCAAAATGGAACACTGTTGTGTGACTAACTTATCTTTTAAATCGAGCAAACAGATTTTAATTAAATATTTTCAATAACTTCGACCTTTGTCCCGAGTCTCCCCAGTCTTTAAGAACCGTCCTGAATCAAAATCCTGTAATGTGAAATTTGTCATTTTGTTAAAAAAAAATAAGCCAAAAATAATTCTGCGTCACGTGCGATATGTTTTCGAATATTTTCCGACTGGTCGTATCTCGCGTGAAATTATTCTTGCTCGTCTGGGGTGCCGACATTCGAGCTATATAATATCTTTTATCGTTGCACTTTGGTAAATAGAGGCAACAAAAGATAAGAGGAACGTTACGAGGTAAAAATAATTGATTCGACGTACGTACTTGAACAGGACCCAAATGACATAATAGCAAGCGTATATGGAGGAGGAGAGTACGACCAGAAAAATGGTCAACAGGTACCAAGGTGTGTGCCTTTGCTGCCTTTTAGTGTCCTCCCAGTACCTGTCGCAACTAAGGTACCAGCATATCGCGCGATTTAATTCCCCTGGAAAAACAATCAATCATTTGACTCGTGAAATTGATTGCAACAATTAATTCGTCGTAATTAAATTTTTACCTTCGATCTCCTGGAAATCTCGAACGGATAAGTTCGTCAGTAGTCCGGCGATGCAATCGCGAACCAATATCTGTCGATCACATTGGACAACAATAAGATTATTATTCCAATAGAACGGATCGATTGTGTTATTTAGAACAAGCGAGTATTATTTCATTCTACGCTACCACTTTATACTACCAAGCTGTCGTTCACGATGATTAGCGTGGCGCTAGCCTACGCACATTGGATAAGAGTGCTCGTATTACGATACTTGTTTGGGTTTTGAAATTTTGCAACCATCTTGTAGTCGCGATGCTGCAATAAATGACTAATTATCGCTCGGTGACGTACGCCGCATGTTTAGATAACATCAACAAACTAAGCGGAATAGTGTTAGTTCTTAAGGTCGCTACGAGGAATTACCTAGTTGCAAGATTAATGCAAGAAAATTATACTCCATGGATCGAACGTATCAAGGTTGCTTTATATTATTCGTTCAGACAAAGACAAAGTTCGTATGATTTACCCTCGGACGACGGACCATGGGGAGATCCCCATATCAACTTCATTTTCTAAATTTTACCCTTTTCCTTTGCGAATCATTTTAATAACTACGACTTTGTTATCACTTCCGTTGGCGAAGTGATAAATAGCTTGTCTGAACAGATAATATAAATTTTCTTTCAGGGGTCAATAACCTATTCTTAATTACAAGATTAGTTAGAGAGTACTCGGTAGACCCAAGCATGTTAAGGAGAATTGATACTTTGCACTGTGATCTTACGTAGATTCTGAATTCTTCAGGGTCGGTGGAACGTCTTCGCGTTCAGATACCTATCATCTCTACATCAAGAATCTTTCTCATCTTAATCATCCTGTTTTCTCAGGATGTCAACTAACTTCGCACTGCAGCTTCAGCTTCTGCAGCTCTTCCGGCTTGCAGTTGGACTTGAGTTTTCTCAGGTGCAGACCTTTGCGCCTCTGTTTCTTGTCGACGGCCGGTAATGCCGCCTCCACCAGGTTCTCCTCGTCGTCTTCGTCGTCCTCCTCGTCCTCCTCCTCTTCGTTGTCGCAGGCGTTGCTCTTGTTGTCGGGTCCAGCGATCTCCACGTGGTACGCCGTGCCAGGTAGACGATGATTCTCGAGCGCCCCGCTGTCCTCTCGGTGACAGTATCGTTGGATGTTGGTGACCGCCACACCCCCGGACATCGTGCAGGATTTCTCCACCGGATACGTCGACCTGGAGAGTCCTCGCGACTCGCACGGCATCACCGAGGTGGAACGTTGCTCGGTATTTTCCTTCCACACTTGGATGTCCGTGGTGTGGTGGGCTGCCTCGTCGTCCACCAGGGAACTCTCGAAATCCCGGTTACCCAGCACATCGCATCTCATGATGTCGCAGTAGTCCGCGAGGCACACCGCGTCCTCCGCCTACCATTTCATTTATAATTGACACACTTGGCAAACTCGCCTCCTCCTCGTGCATTTTAATCGACTCTCTGTGCTCGTTCGAATCGGTTCTCGTGAAAATTAAAGGCGCTTCCGCTGGGCCAATGTCACCGAGACTGTGACTTTGGCTATTCAGGGTATGTAGATTAATCAAATTTTTGGAAAACTTGAATATTCAAAGAATATCACCATTTTCCCTAGGGAGTTCAGAGTTCAACTTACATTGTGTTGATTCCATTATTCTGTTTTGCATTTAATTAATCTTCAAGTGCAACTTATAAACGAACCTTGTAATGAACACGATTCCGTTATAACAGCATGCATTTCCTGGTTCGCATGCCAGCTATAACGGAGCTTCAGGAGTTGCATTCTCTTCGATTAAATAGTGTGGCTGATATTATTCAACAGTTTCTCCGTCTGAATACTTTGCATTCGTTTAAGTGTTCACCTTTGTCATTGATTATTATACAAGCTAAATTCTGCCAGGGCAACACCTTTAATTTTCCATTTGAAACACTGATTAAATCGTTGAAAGGATTAAAAAAACAAGAATACATTACCGTGTTGACGTTGCTTTTGTGTCTGTTATCGAAGTGGGCATCCAAGTGTTTCTCCGCGTAGAAGGACTTGCCACACAGGCCGCACGTCCATTGGGACGGTCTGTGCTGGTGCTTCGCCTTCTGTTGAGGCCGAAAAATGTCGCGACTCTCGTGAAACGGGCACTCCAACGGCAGCTCTACTTGGTACTTCTTCAGAATGGGCATCCATCTCTGAAATCTCAAACAAAATGAATTACCACGTCGAATCACACGCGGCCCATCCACGTCCAAATGTTAATCCCTTAGAATATTTTCAGTCGAAAATTTCTTTACCTTCTGAACGATCCTCCTCACCACCGACGCTCGATCACGGGGGCATGATATTTTAAACACGCTCGGTCCTGGCCAGGGGATCACGGATAACAGTAACACTATTAAAACCTGCGAAACACGTAAAACGCAAACGTTCAACTCATCGACCTCCTTTTCCTCAACGCAGTCTGTATTTGTGTGCGTGCATGTGGTTCGTTTACGAAGAAACGCGTGTGCATCGGTGCACGCTGATCGTTTCAACGTTACACTCTTGTATCGCCCTACATTAGTGACGTCTTTCAGCCGAGTCATCAAGTTAGTTTGCGACGATCTATATACATGTAGAAATGAAACGGGCATTGAATAGAAATTCACGCACTCTGATGGTTTTGCTCATCCTCAGTCGGCGGCCGAGGTATACCCCTATCGTTCCGCGGGTCCTCCTCCAATCTCGATGACACAGAGGAAAAAATTGATTCGTAATGACGCAATCCGGCCGATGTGACGAATATACGCGACGACCATTCCGCCTGTCGATACACAAACACTTGTGAAAAACAACGATTACCTCGAAATGGAAGGGTTGGGTCTTCATTCATAGCCCAGATTCGTCTAGCGAGATTGACCTGGTGCGATGAATCCTGGCTGCGACACGATCCTTTACGCGTGTTCCTCGGGATTCACGGTCAGCTGGGGACGTAACGGGGGTGGCAACGAGGACGAACTATAGGGGTGAACGTCGACATGGCGTCCTAGTCAGCTTTCGTCAGGGGTGAATCGAGCAGGGGTGCTTCGACTTGCAACTCCCACACCACTAAACAAGAATTATTTAAAATTCCTTTAAAAAATCCTTCTTTTTTTTTATTAAAAAATATTCGCTCGCAGTATTTGCGCTCTGATTGCAGACGAATACTCGAGTTTATTTTTGGATATCTCAGGGCACATTAATTGCGTGCTGTCCTCTTTTATTAACATTCATTTATGAACATGAGTGGGCAAAGACCCTTGCGACGGTTAAAAGTTTTGTAAACAGGTTACATCTTAGCGATGCAGTTTTTCAGACACAACACGTGTCTCGCGTAACTCATCGTACGGGCCTGCACGAGACGTCGGATTCGGCGTCGATGACGCTGCGCCGACGTGACGCATCCCGACGCCTCGGAAGCGTGCCGGGCGCAATCGGGTTCGAAAATTAAATGCGGCCACCGACCAGAGGAAAAATATCGTTTCCATTCGAACGCACGTCACGCCGCTCGTCACGTTTTAATTAACCCCCTCGATACTAAGGGTAATCATAAAGCAATCATTATGACGCTAAGTCGATTATTGTCGACGAACGATAATGCTTCAAAATCTATGAATCCTCTCGCCAGATGGCAAGAGGAGAAACATTTGCAAATTTTTCAAATACAAACGAGGTCCAACTGCATCGATAAAAGAAAAACAATGTGTCGGGTTGATTATTTAGCAGATGCACGCGGATGAAGCAGAATAACAATTTGAAAGCTTTGATAAAAATCTTCTGGCCAACTTTTCTATCTGAAATAATTCACCGATGCAGTGTTTATTTCGGTCTCGGAAATCGTCGATTCGCGCGAGAAAAACAAAGCCATTACATAATCGAAGAATCAGAAAATCAACCTGCTACAATTACGTAACTTGCATGCAGTTGCATTTAACAAAGTTCTTTCGATATGAAGGTACGATAAAAAAAAAATGCACGCATATCGTTCAATCGGGTCGTGAATCAATGGCTACTTGAGCGCAAACAAAGAATATGCGATGATTGAGCATGGTCTGAATCGTTGACATCAATTTGACCCGACGTATGCATATCAAGGATCCACTGGCGTCTGTACGCATCGATGCAAATGATTTTCGAATCGTTTAAAAGAAATTGCTCTGTTAGAAGAAGGCTAGAGCCCAGAAAAATTGACGGAGGTGCGAAGAGACGTGTGTCCTGAATAGGCGAAACGAGCGCAGACAAATTTGATAATTGGCCTAACTGTGACGCTTATGGATGGAAGTGTGTATCATAAGAAAGAGTTAAAGTACGCAATACAATATTTTCTGCGATACGCGAATTCGTTTCGGAGCGTTCCACTCGACCAACCAGCCGAGCCGTCCTCGAGAATGAGAAATCCTCTCTTCGCGGGCACCTTGTACACGCCTCCTTCTGCGACCACGTTCAGTGGGGGAACAGTATCTACAGGCTGGTTGAAGTTAAGCGGTTTGCCAGAGAATCCCGTAGTCTGTCAGTGAAAACAGTTACGCGAGCGAGGTCCGGTTTGTGAGTATCGTGGTGATCGTGGAATTCGGAGATCGTGCGTGCCAAAAGATCCCGGATCGAAGAGACAAACACGCCGAAATAAGAAAGATAAACGAGAAATCTCACTAACTTGCATCTAAGTGCATTTCGAGAGGATTCGTATAAAGGTTCGAATTGTTTTCATACGTTTCTATACGGAGCTGACCTATCGATAAATCGCCTCCATGCACGGTACACTTTCACCTGTCTGTTTACCACGATTTTCTATCCGCGCGACCGGTTTTTCTCGTTACCTTTCACGGAGCTCGTTAACCCAACAGGTTAGTCTCGAGTTACCTGCGTGATACGGGAAAATCGATCGACCGATCGAAACCGTGAAATTCCATCGTCGATATCGTAACCCTTTATATTAATTTTCACCACGATTAATTACCATTCGCAAAGTGGGTTATTTTTATTATTTAGGTGCACCGAACGATTGATTCAGGGAACATTGTGTCGTATCGGTTGCTCGGTTTCGTAGAACACAGACGTTTCACCAGTTTATCTTTATTGGATCCCTCGCGTGCTTTTTTCATTCACGATAGCCAGATAGGACGGAAACGAAGGAACAACGGGTCAATTGCGTCCAGGGACGATATCGTAAGAGACCGATTGCAGAAAGCGAGAACGAAAACGTTCATTTGCTGGCGGTTCAAGAATAAAAGCCAGTGTTTGCCGGGAGTGAACGTACGTTTCGTGAAAGCGTATTACGTAGAACGTTATTTAAGGCCGATGCACCGATAGCCTCTCGGCTCCGAATGCATGTCGGTAGATGACGCTTTTCAGAAAGCATCGGTCCGGTTAATTAACATCGATTTCCCTCGGTGCCAATAATTAGCCAGACTGGGATATGTTTGCCAGTGAAAAAGGTTGTTATGTATTCAAATTCGAAAATAAGCCTTCATAAATATTCCTCGGTGTTATTGTCATCGTGAATATTGAAACTTTAAATTGTACACGATAGTGTTCCGACGTATTACTTGTCAGTCATTCAGAGTTGACTCTTGTACCGTTTGACGTGATAATGCAAAGAAGGAGGAAAAAGAAATCGGTGTATTTACGTTACGAGCAAGATAACATGTACGAGCGAGGTGTGTCATCGACGATAACTCGATGAATCGTACTTTGAACTGTTATTTATTGAACGGCAATTCGTCCTCACAATTATTACCACTGGCAAAGATTCGGTGCAAACATTCCACGAGAGATAAACGATGTACGCTCAACGCGGCTTTCTCGTCGTGTATAATATGTATACTTTTTATCCGGTTTGCAGCTCGTTATCTGCGCGGGTGAATCGCCCTTGGCATAATTATTCGGAAGAATCGTATCAAACGGAGCTCGCTGGATTTCGACGAAAAATTATCGGGAACTAATCTTATCATCTTCCATATAGTATTACATATCGTAGAATGATTGTTCATATTCATATTTTATTATGTTTCATGTTAGGTGACGCTTTATCAATGTTTCTTCATATTTTCTTGTGTTGTCATCGATGTTTACGACCTATTAGTTTACATCGCAGTAGAAAGCCGCTTTCACACAGAATAATTTTACAACGGATATTGTATGGTTTCCAGGGTCCGTAATTGCCTTAATGAATAGCTAGGAACGTTCGCGTAAACGGACAGAACGAAGAGGAAAAATCAAGAGAAGAAGTTGGAAGCATGACGAGCGTAAGGCAAATTCTTCGCTGCACCCAAAGGCTGATGCAGCTACAGGAGAGTGGGGCGAAACTTTTAAACCGGTCTGTTAGATGCGCGTCCACCCAGGCGCGACACAAAATCATCGAGGATGAAAACGGGAAAAAAATTTTCCCCTCGCCGTATGGCGATGTTACTCATTGCGAGATGCGCATTCAGGAGTTCATCTGGAGGAACATCGACAAACATGCCAATAAGACTGCTCTGGTAATTTCATTTTAAATATTTGAATTTTAGGATTTGTTTTTTTTTTTTTTTTCTTATTGTTACTAAGGACTTGTTTCTGAGAAACTTGAGTTGGCATTGAGTCGAGTACGAGCTGTTCTTAGTGAAAGGAATAATTAATTCCGCTTGCATAGGAGGAGTAGGAGAGCTCGTTGCGGACGGTCTGAGATTAATCGAATGTATTATTTACGTCGATCGTAGACGGACCTTGCGATTACCTTACTGTTTTTACACGATGACGAATGCCACAATGACTGGCACTTTCACGGTCATTCGACGAAGTTACACGAAAGTTGAATGCTAAAAGAACATGCAAACAAATGAAATATTCATTGTTAATTATTTTTGAAATTTTGATCTTCGATCACTCTATATTATCTTGCAACCTGCTATATTTTTTCGGAGACACACGCGATAAAAAGTTGGCTACCCGACTTCCGGAGCGTCGCGTATGAATCTTAGGCAACTGAGCAAACAGCTGACACGGGATCAAAGAAACTTGCATTCACAGATAAAGATACGTATCGTTGCGCACACAACGAGTATTACCAAACAGAAGGAAGTCATTCACTCTTGGCCCTTCCCATGGCATAACAAACGCTACTGTGAATAATTTCGAGATAGCGTCGCGTGTATACTCCCAGGAAATATGGTGATGCCCTAGTTTTTGGCCCTGATGGGGACCATCATTAGGATTCGATTTTATTAAATGATTTTTATAATTGCCTGGTTATTGATTTCCGTGCGAACCGCGTAATCTAATAAAAATCACGAGTGTCTTTATTGTGACATCGTTTTAGGTATGCGCGGTGACCGGAAGGAAGTATACGTACAGCGAAACTAGGGACGCGGCTAATTATGTGGGGAGAAGTTTGTTGAACATGGGCCTGAAGAAGCGTGACGTGGTTGCCCTAGTGGCACCCAATTATCCAGAAACGATTATATCGTTCCTCGGCACCGTGGATGCTGATCTCATCGTGACCACTGTCAATCCATTTTACACAGCCGGTAAGTTAATTAAACTTTGCATTATACAAAACCGAATAACCTCTTGTTACGTTGCATACGAACGAACAGAAAATGAAGTAATAAAGTTTTTACAACGATCACCATATTTTTTTATTTGTATCTAAACGAGTCGTGCGAAGAGTTAAAATTATTCGGTTGCATGTTTCGAACAGATGAAATTAAAAGGCAGTTGAAGGATTCTGGGGCGAAGGCGGTGATTACCGTGGCGGAAATTGCACGGACCACGCTGGAAGCTGCGACCGGTGCGCTTCCGCCTGGATCACCCTTCATAGTCATCGAGGATGGTACTGGACCCATTCCCGAAGGCACTATACCGTTTAAGGTGAGAACTGTTATTATTATGTTTCAAAAGAAACTAAAAGAATGGATGGAAATGGAAATTCATAATGGGAAAGAAAGAATCTGTTTATTTCATACCTCCGAGTTAAGAAAGTTTGATTTTATAAGGGCTAGCAGCTGCTTTTAATTTCCATCTAATCAATCCATCGATTCGTTCTTTCTTTGATACAGTTTTATTGAAATTCGCATGGACGAAAATGTAGTCACTGGACGAATATTAAACTTAGGGAGAAAGAATTTATCAACGTGCCTGGGTAGCTCAATTGATAAACCAGTCATCCGGTTAACGAATCATCCGGTTCGACGATTCGAAGAGTCGATACTCTACGGGTTATTTCGGAAGAGTCTTCTCGCTTGTTTTTCTATACAAAAATTCGAGTTTTGAGGTGAAAATAGTAATGATAAGAAGAGGTACCAATCGAACGATTCTTTTTCCTTTATCGTTTTTTAAACACCCAATGTTCTCTTTTCATTTGTCATTCAATATAATGAAATTTTCGTAGGATCTGATTGAACGTGGCAAAAGTTTGCCTGCTTTAAAACTATCTGACGCGTCTATTCATGATATGGCGGTCTTGCCGTATTCCAGTGGAACGACTGGATTGCCAAAGGGTGTTATGTTAACACATAGAAATATTGTTTCCAATATGGAGATGGTGGATCGAACGGCTAAAGGAAAAATGTGGGTGGAAGCGTCAGGTAAAGAAACATTTGTTATTTATCATTTAAACGTGAAACAATGAAAATGGACATATGTAGTAAGACACGTAATAACAGTTTTTAATTTTTCAATTCTTATTTCAAGGTTAAACTATTTATGAATGCATCTGTTTTTTTCTTTTTCAAATTATGCGATAATATTTCATTTGTGCTGTTCGTTATCGATGACCTTTGGGTAGACAACATGGTACTTTTGCACGTGTTGGTCATTAAATTAGTAAGATAGATGACACACCGAAATAAATAATAATTCTCTTTAAAAACGTGTCTTACCACGTACAACCATTTCTATTGATTTTCCATAGCACCTCCAGGCCCCACCTTCCAGGGGCCCCGTTGAAAGCAATCCATTTACTATGTATTTTTTTTACAGAAAGTTTCCAAGAAATATTGCCCATGGTTCTACCATTCTTCCATATCTTTGGAATGAACGTAATCGTTTTACCACGTCTCGCAGAAGGCACCCAAATAATCACTGTCCCTAAATTTACACCCGAGTTGTTTACCACAGTTCTAGCCAAGTACAAGGTAGCCTATAAATGATCATCATCAAAACATGCATCGAATGCATTCTATTCGTATTTTATTCATAGTCTACAGGTCTGTTCGTCGTGCCACCGGTACTTTTGTTCCTGAATGCGTCGCCGTTTATCAAAAGAGAATACTTGGAAAACATGCATCACGTAATCAGCGGAGCGGCGCCCTTATCAAATCCGGACGTCGAGAGATTTTATGCGAAGTTTCAGATAGATAATAGTAAATTAAAGTTCTGTCAAGGTAAATTATAAAAATACTTCTCGAACATCTATTTTTTAACCTGTAAACAAAGCGTTATGTTCATATTAACGCTTGTTTTGTCAAGGATACGGAATGACGGAAACATCGCCAGCCATTTGCTTAGAAACGACTGGCCAGAAGCCAGGTAGCATCGGGAAGAACGTAGCCGGATGCGATGTTAGATTAGTCGATCCAATTACCAACGAAGATATTTCTAGTCCCGGTCAAACTGGTGAACTCTGGGTGAGGGGTCCTCACGTTATGAAAGGGTACTTAAACAATGAGGCCGCCACCAGGGAGATGATCGTCGAGAACGGATGGCTGAGAACCGGCGATATAGCTTATTACGATGAAGATTTTGATTTCTTTGTCACAGACAGATTGAAAGAGTTGATCAAAGTCAAAGGATTCCAGGTGAGGGAACATAAAACTTCGATTACGTATCACTCTTGTAATACTTCATTTTTTTTATCGGAGAAATTTAAATATCTTCAATTTACATGATGATTAGCAATTACTTTTTTTTAAAATGATATTGTAAATTAGTCGATGAGATAACACTGAATAACTAACGTGTTAAAAGTTTCTTTGTCCATTTATTACGAGCACGATTATTTATTCAATAGTAATCTGTAAAAGTAGTTGCATTAATTACCTTAAAATTGTATTCTCATGTAATACTTGCAATTCTTGACCTTTTATTTTGTAATTTCGTAACAAGAGTTCGTCTATCACGGGACAGATATTATGCATTTATGTAACGATTATATTCTATCAATTTTTTTAAAGTCCATTCAGAGTGCATAGTACAAACAATCATATTTTATTGAATATTCTGTTGATGCTCGATGACCTTTGATAATTCGAAATTGTACTTTAATACTTTATAATTATATTCCATTCATCTTTGAATGATTTATTGCATTTATTTTATGTAAAGAAGCTGAATGCAAGATAATGAATATGATGCAATCGCATTTTTTTTACAATTAATGATTAAGATTGTAAATTTTGAACTTGACACGAACCTGTCTTAACACTTGGATGACTTAAAAAAAAAGAGGTTGCTATGGAAATTTCTGTAATATAATTCAGAAGACAATATTAAACATAGAGACGTTAAATAACAGGTAGCACCAGCGGAACTGGAAGCCTTGTTAAGAATGCACCCAGACGTACAGGAAGCAGCCGTGGTTGGTATTCCGGATGAAAGGTGCGGCGAGGTGCCGAAAGCTTACATTTTGCCTAAAAAAGACGCGAAACCAAACGTAGAGGACATTCAGAACTTCGTGAAGGGAAAAGTATCCGACTACAAGGAACTTCGAGGTAAAACAATTATACACCGCGGTGGGGATCATTCCTCAAGTAACGATTCGAAATATCAGAGTCCATAGTTCAGCGTGAACAATAGCTAGATCCGGTCACAATTGATCCTAATGATCGCTAATTGATCATAATCAATTTATGATTTCAGGAGGCGTCATGATCGTAAACAACATACCGATTAGCCCGAGCGGAAAGATCCTGCGAACGCAGTTGAAGAATCAGTACAAATAATGAACGTATCTCGGCGTATGTTTTCTTTAGAAGAGAGAATTTCTCGCGTCAGTTCTTGATTAACAGTTCACACGTTGACAATCATGACAAGAGAAACGACAATGCTATTAAAAATGGTTCTAGATACCATTCGTTGGGAAATTGATGGTCGTGAACGGAGAACCATGTGACTGTTAGTCGAGACACGGAAGAGGAAGCGTTAATTACGCTAATTGGCAAACAACCACGCGTGCAATCGATATTTTTTTACGGATATTTTACACGATGTTACACGACGTCGATGGTATACCATTTTTTTTTTCTTTTCCTTATCGATAAAGGCCTTTGCCATTCGTGAACGGTGGTCTAGATTTTAACGAAAACTCCTGCAGCGAGGGTAAACAACGTAAGAAAAGAAAAAAAAAAAAAATAACGGGTCAGGATTTGATGTATACCTTTTTAATACTATTTGATATATTTCCTAATGTTTATCTATGGTGCTATCTCTGACAATGCAATTAATTCTTAAGGCACGTATTTTACGTACTGGATCATAATGATATGTAATTTTTATAGGCCATTTGTACCATAAAGTAGCAGGTGTTTTAAGCAATAAAATCTTTTACAACAGCGTTATCATAAACTTCAGCGTTTTGCTTTTTTGCAGATTGAATTTTTGCATGTTGCCAAAGAAACTACAGTTTCTCCAGCGAGCATTATCTTTATTCACTTCCTGCCTACTTATATTTGTTTTTCTTAATCCTATCTTTAAATTTTTTCATTTTAATTATAGATCTGTAATTAGTAATGTGCAATTGGATCAAAAAGGTAAAACAGACTACAAATTTAGTTCCTCATTTTTCCTATAGGGCGCAGTTCATTAGTCCTCTCTGTGGCGTTAGTTAGTTTGTAGTCCGCAATCTAGGTTAAGCATATAGTCCTAGTTGTCAGAGTTTGAACACAAATAAAAAGAATAACCGACGTGCATTCGCTACGTGGTATTGTAATGGTTAAGACGTTAATATTAAAGACGTAGAAATCAGTAATAGAAATAGTGTGTAGGTAAAGCCCTACATCTCCGAGGTTTCGTTCGCCTTTCACGTGTCTGCAACAGGTAAGGTTAAATTATCTTCAAATATTAAGTTAAACTGCCTCTTGGGTGTTAAAAGTACAAAAAGCAGAAGGAAATGTTGAAGAGAATTCTATATTCTTAATTTTTGATATTAATTCGGCGTTTTCTTTAAAAATACGCGAATTGAAAATTTTGCTCTTGTCGTGAATTCACAATGATGTTGGAATAGCAGAAACTCAATTACTTTCCTTTTTATATCAACAATTTCTTGGATATTATTACATTATTTCATGATTTCCTCATTCTTTGACTATTCTGCCAATATACATATATACGAATTGAAATAATATTTTCCTCATCTATTCTACTTTTATGACGATAAATTATTAAAAGTCGTTAATATCTCATATTTTTTTCCATTTTCTTTCCTATATGTTGGTGCTTTAAATTGAAAAAAGTAATTTTGACTTTATTTCATCATGTTGATAATATTCAACGAACCTTTTCGTTATTTTAATGGTAGAGTTTCTGAGCAATTCGGAGTTTTTAACAATGGCTGTGATTGGTCGTCCTATTATGGCGTCCTCTCATTTCGACCAATCAGATTCATCGTTGCAGGATGAGGTACGCGGAGCCGAGGAGTGTGGTAGTCCTCTACGAAGCTTCGTCCGTTTGGCACGTGTCTGCAACAGGTAAGATTAAATTAACTTCAAATATTAAATTTAATTGCTGGTCGGGTGTTAGAAGTACAAAAAACAGAAAGCAACATCGAAGAGAAGTCTGAATTCTTGATCTTTGACATTAATTCGGCGTTTTCTTCAAAAGTACGTGAGATGAAAATTTTGCTCTTGCCGTGAATTCACAATGAGGTTGGAATAGCAGAAACTCAATTACTTTCCTTTTTATATCATCAATTTCTTGGATATTGTTACATTATTTCATGATTTCCTCATTCTTTGACTATTCTGCCAATATACATATATACGAATTGAAATAATATTTTCCTCATCTATTCTACTTTTATGACGATAAATTATTAAAAGTCGTTAATATCTCATATTTTTTTCTATTTTCTTTCCTATATGTTGGTGCTTTAAATTGAAAAAAGTAATTTTGACTTTATTTCATCATGTTGATAATATTCAACGAACCTTTTCGTTATTTTAATGGTAGAGTTTCTGAGCAATTTGGAGTTTTTAACAATGGCTGTGATTGGTCGTCCTATCATGGCGTCCTCTCATTTCGACCAATCAGATTCATCGTTGCAAGATGAGGTACGCGGAGCCGAGGAGTGTGGTAGTCCTCTACGAAGCTTCGTCCGTTTGGCACGTGTCTGCAACAGGTAAGATTAAATTAACTTCAAATATTAAATTTAATTGCTGGTCGGGTGTTAGAAGTACAAGAAACAGAAAGCAACATCGAAGAGAAGTCTGAATTCTTGATTTTTTACATTAATTCGGCGTTTTCTTCAAAAGTACGTGAGATGAAAATTTTTGCTCTTGTCGCGAATTCACAATGAGGTTGGAACTACAGAATCTATTATATCGTTCATTTCTTAAACATTATTGAATGTTTTTAGTATTGTTACTCGCGATTTATTGTTTTAAATTGTTAAAATTTACTACCACGTGTTGATTTTAACAAGAGATTTCAATAACGTTCTTCCTTGAGCATCATAAAGTCTGTTCGTTTAGCTGCTTCGGTATGGGCCGGTGTCAACCGGTACCGAATATTACCGAATGTTACCGAATGTTACCGATTAGTTTTCGAGGGACAGGAAGGTCTCGTCATTTGTCTCGTGAACGTCGAGATGATAACACGTGTTGAGAACGTCCTTTCTTATGTGCCGGTAGTACATAATAGGTACGCACAGCATATCTATTCAAATATTTTGCATAAATTATAAAATTCGCTCGTTTGTTAATCATAATTTTATTGCTGTTGTTTAAGTTTTATTTACGTAAATTTGTATTTTTTATTTGTTGCAGATATTTGGTTGATATCGAAGCAACGCCATATTGATATTGGTTTGAAATAATTTCATAAAGAATTGGTAACGTTTTCACTTATTGTAATCAATTGTTAATATTTATTTTTTTTTTTTGTTGGATCGTTGTTAATTGTGAGCATTTTTAATAATTAATTGGTACCAAGTTCAAGGAAAGAAAGATCAAAGAAATTTCTTTTTATTGATTAATACAAAACGGATCATTAATTTTTCATTTTATTAAATAATTTCGTGTAGTAATTTAATACCTGTGTTTTAAATTAGAACAATATTGAAATAATTCGTTTTTTACTGCAAATGATTGTTTCTCTTCTGTAATTATTAATTATTTTAAACAATCTATTTTTGTTAAGACATAGTAATTGTATTATAATATCCAGCTTTTGGTGCAAGTTTAAATTAGAATCACATTTTTAAATCACATGCTGTTTAAGCATGATTAATTATTGAACTTTGTTTATTGAAAAGAATTTAGACAATTTATAAATCCAGGCGTAATACAATTTTGAACACTTTTTAGCATACTTACAATTTTAACAACAGAAATCCTCTACTTTAATAAAATGGTATATTATATTTATTTAACAATGATTTTCTATTCTTGTAATATTCATTGAAATAATTATTAACAAGTATTTAAAACATTTCATTATTGCGATATAATCTAGGATCAATATTCAATTTGAATAATATTCGTGTTCGTTGAGAATATTTTATGAACAGGGATATTTCCATTTACAAATAATAACAGTATTTCCTTAACCCAACGCTGAATAAGAAGAATGTTTGTTTTGTATATTTCCACCCATCCCCAACCTGACTAATCTTTTCTTCCAGGAATTGTTGTGGCCGCGCGCAAGGCGGTCGGTAGAGCCAGTGTTTGCACGTACATACGTTTAATGTTTTGATTTTCTCAAGGGTGAACTGGCCCTGAATAGCGTTGCGTTTGTACAATTAGGAATCACGCGATAGTAGAGTCAGTGTTTGCTGCGTTTTATAAAATATTTTCTAGAGCATCGCGGCTCTGATTTTTCTTTTTTCATCGCGAAAGTAGAATCACTACAATTGTTCGCCGAAAATTATTCACGGTCGCGTTATTAGTATTTTATATCTTGAATTTTATTTTTAATTTTTTTTTTTTTTATTGCTCGATATATCCGGTATTAGAGTCAGTGCACCACTGAAGAGGAGTCTTGGGTGTTGCTCCATAAGGAAAGAGTGTAAGCATCTTATTACTTTATTTAATTAATTTTAATTAAAATAGAATAATTTACAAATTCAATACTTGATAATTGAGAGTTCTTCTTAATGGCTATTGCTAATATTTTATAAAATTCAATTTTATATATAATTTTATTAGAATAAAAATTGATAATTTGCAAAATTAACCGTAATTCTTTTTTGTTTTGTTACAGATGAATTTTTTGATTTTGCCGAGTTCCTGGACATCCTGATGATGGCTTTCTTCACGACTTCCGTCTTGGTACGTCACTTAATTGCTTTTTACTAAAATAGAATAATTTTCAATTTCAACACTTGATAATTGAGATTTCTTTTTAATTGCTAATATTTTATAAAATTCAATTTCATATATAATTTTATTAGGATAAAAATTGATAATTTTCAAAATTAACCGTAATTCTTCTTTTTTTGTTACAGATGAATCTTCTCCTACAAGGCAGCCTCCTACCTGGTGTTGTCCATCCTCCTACTTGACTGTCGGAAGAAGAGTATATCTGCGAACGGTGAGTCGCATGTTTTATGGTTCCTCTGGTGCCCTATCATGTCGTAGGACGAATGGTCCGAATCGACACGGGCTACTAGTTGTATACGTGCTTGGCAAGCATAGTGACCATGGGTATGATTATACATACCCATGAGTAGTAACATTTTTATTGTTTCATTTTATTTAGTTAGGCTAGGTCTTCTTGTACTCCGCGTTTTAATATCATTTCAATTCCACATATTCTAATAGATATATTTGAAATATATGAATGCTCTTAAATATTCTTAACTGTGGAATTAGAATATTTTAATACCGAAACAATTTAATTTAGTTTGTCTGTAATAGAGAAGTCAAATACTATCTGACTTAATTATTGCGATGGTTCAAAGCAATATAACATTGATAGTATTATGTAATATGTATACTGGATATACATATTAACGATGCTATTACATTGATTTAATTACATTTTGTACATTATAAATTCAAATATAATTTGAGAATTTTTTAAAATTTCATTCATTCAATAGCGAAGTTTAACTTATTTATACGTTCATGAAAAAATGAACAACTTATGTGCAAGAAGACAATTCGTGACGGGTAGATTTCCAAGTCAGAGTGATCTATTTCAACACATTTTGCGTATTTTTGAAAATTTACTCTGAGGAGGGAGTCGCCCGAGGATGTTTTAATTTTTTATTAATTTTCACAATATATTCTTTTCTCATTGTAAAGAATTTTTAATTAGTGGTTTTGCTTTTAATAAAATATCAAATTCAATTTTGACATTAAATTCCTTTTCATTAGAGTTTTGCCTTTATTAAATTAGTGTTGCGAGAAATTTTCGACGCGAGAGTAAATATGACGATGCACTGACTAGTATTCGGTGGGAATCCTTTTGGTTTTTAAACTCAATCCTATGTATTATTTAATTAATCAAATTAGTTACAAGGATTCCGCGGCATAAGACCGTGAACACCATCTCTGGGAGATATACCCATGCATTACTAGGCCTTTGCAGGCGCAGTTTTAGAATACGGAACATGTGAAAATATGTTACCATATTCTAAACTGCAGTCCTTTTGTCTATACTATGGGCGTCCGTCAATCTGACACCGTTGGATGCAACGTGTTGGACGGGCGGGTAGCGCTCTTAGCGAAGGGGTGCACTCTGTCCTGGCGTTACGACGTCCAGGCGGGGTGGGTGGTATGTAGCGTCTGGCGCAAGTCTAGGGGGCGTGAGACCCTTCGTTGCCAGCTGATATTAGCAGTGCACCATGTTTGCGTCATAGTTGCTCTATTTTACTTTTCAGTATTTGTTCTTAAAGCTTTATATTTACAAAGTCGAGTCACTTTTATTAAAATAGTGAAATATTAGCCCGTTAGATGTTTATGTACTAATCATGTTTGTAGATCAGGATTTTCAGGTTTAATCCCTTCCGTGTTTATTGCCAAAGCCCATTCACGTGCCCAGGTGCTACTTGGATGGGTAGAGGCAATGGGTACGATGACCTAGTTCATAAGAATAATAATTAATAAGCGGCTGGCATTGTGTTAGTATATCGTGCACGACGTAATCTCCACATATGGTGTGTGTGTTTTTAGGCTGTGGGATTGCGTCGGTTTCGTAACTTTTTCATTTAACTTTTAATTTGAAATAATATTTTATTCAACAAGATGTACGATGAACGTACAAACCAAATAGTATTATTACCATTATTATTACTGTATTGCCATTACTATTACCATGATTATTACCATTATTATGAAATATTCTATATCAAAGTAGTTAATTAAATTTTGTAATTATCATTATACGCAATGATTGCTAGCCTTGCCAGACGATTTCAGTGAAAAATGGTACGTACCGTAGAGTGTGATGTGAGATGAAACTCGGGTGACGGAGGCGTCCCGGGACGTTCTCCCTAGTTTAGGCTCTGCGCCCGGGTGGAGTGTATGGGGGTCGTGGAATGAATTTTTGTGAGAATGTGATTTTGCCTTTTTTAAATATAGCGTTAGGTAGGTAGGTAGTATACCTTCTGGTGTGTGTGATAGATTGTAAGTAGGTAGGGCCGGGACAGGTTGTCACAGTCTCTTGGTCGGGTAGGCGCGATTTCGCGTGATCAACCTGTACCTGGAATATATTTGAAGAATTGACGATACGATCGATACGAACGGGGTATGCCGTTCGCCTTCGAATCTATCTGTACAATTTTTCAAATTTTTGGCGACTTCATAAGTCGTCATACGCGATCGCGATGGCACGAAACGCACAAGTTCTGCTCGAGCACGGCACGTGTGCACGAACAACGACTTATATAAAGTCCTTTTTCGTCCACGTGTCAATTAGAGTTTCGCGATTTTTCTTTTTTGTTGATTGTTTTTTTTTTGTTTTGCGAATTTGCAAGTCTCGAGCTTTAGATATAAGTTTCAGATGGGTGGACCGCCCGAAGAAAGAAAAGGCTATATGCCGAAGCGCCCCGACAAACTGTCTTTCAAGAGGGGAACTACTAATGATTTTGCATCCTTTTGCAAAAAAGGATGGGAAATCATTATCGTTACTACTTTGTCACTGTGCTTGCCTGTAGTTGTAGTTTTGTAATTGCAGGAGAAGAGGGGGCCCGTGACCCCCATGATTTTGGGCAAATCGCGTTTTCAATTTAGTGTTGCGAATATTGACCACGGTTCAATTTAGTGTTGCGAAGTAATATCGATCACGGTTCAATTTAATGTTGCGTATGCATGATTATCGCGATTTTCATTTAGTGTTGCGAACTTTAAATATCGTGTTTCTTTCTTGCATTGCTTTAAAATAGAATTTAACTTTTCAATGTTGATTGCTTTAAGATTTTTGAGAGTTTTGCTTTTTAATGTTGATTGCTTTAGTGTTGCGAATAAAAAATTCACGGTTTGAGAATCCCCGTTTTTTGCATTTTAATTGCATGTCTGTTAAAGATAGCGTTGCGAATGACATTAGCGCGACTGTTTCCCAGTGTTGCGACTTATAAATACGCGATTGCTTTGCATTAGTTTATAGAGTTCCCTGCTAATTAGTGTTGCGATAATGAATATTCGCGTTTTGCATTAGAGTTGCGATATATGATGAAATGCCCAAAAACGATCCAGTGGAGTTGCCATGGTCCATAAGGCAACTATGGACCAGCTGCCATGATACAGCCTTGGATTGGCTGAACCCCTTTTTTAGATTAGTGTTGCGTCTTACAAAATTCGGTAGATTTGAGTAGTGTTGCGTTACAGTTCGCGTTTTCTCTTTTTTTCTTTTTTTCAGCTTAGTGTTGCGCATAATGGAGCAGCCTTCACGCGTATGCTTTTGTACATATTATATAATTAATGAAATTAGTGTTGCGAGTAAAAAATTCACGGTTTGAGAATCCCCCTTTTCTGCATTTTAATTGCATGTCTGTTAAAGATAGCGTTGCGAATGATATTAGCGCGATTGTTTCCCAGTGTTGCGACTTATAAATACGCGATTGCTTTTCATTAGTTTATAGAGTTCCCTGCTAATTAGCGTTGCGGTAATGAATATTCGCGTTTTGCATTAGAAATGCCCAAAAACGATCCAGTGGAGTTGCCATGGTCCATAAGGCAGCTATGGACCAGCTGCCGTGGTACAGCCTTGGATTGGCTGTACCCCTTTTTTAGATTAGTGTTGCGTCTTACAAAATTCGGTAGATTTGAGTAGTGTTGCGTTACAGTTCGCGTTTTTCCTTTTTTTCTTTTTTTCAGCTTAGAGTTGCGCATAATGGAGCAGCCTTCACGCGTACGCTTTTGTACATATTATATAATTAATGAAATTAGTGTTGTGAATGAATTCGCGATTGTTATTAAATTAGTGGAAGTAACTATGACTAACATTCGGTGGGAATCCATTGCTAGGCAAGGATTCCGCGGCATAAGACCGTGAACACCATCTCTGGGAGATATACCCATGCATTACTAGGCCTTTGCAGGCGCAGCTTTAGAATACGGAACATATGAAAATATGTTACCATATTCTAAACTGCAGTCCTTTTGTCTATACTATGGGCGTCCGTCAATCTGACACCGTTGGATGCAACGTGTTGGACGGGCGGGTAGCGCTCTTAGCGAAGGGGTGCACTCTGTCCTGGCGTTACGACGTCCAGGCGGGGTGGGTGGTATGTAGCGTCTGGCGTAAGTCTAGGGGGCGTGAGACCCTTCGTTGCCAGCTGATGTTTTGTCATAGTTCAGAATGTTTGCAATTTTAAAATTAGTGTTGCGAGTGATTTCGGTTTGTTTTATAGGGTTTGCTTAGGGATTGCTCTTATGGGCAGTCAAACTTTTCTTTTCAGGTTCCCCTGTACCCTCCCTCCCACAGCCACGCCCCCATTCTTTTTTCTTCCCTTTTTTTAATTTTGAACATTTTGAGCATTCGGTTGTTGGAAATACTGTTAAAAAATATATGAATTTAATGTTGTCAGAATATTATTAAATACGATAAAGTTTTAAATAGAACTTTATTAAAAGTTTTATTTCAAATGGAAATTCATTTTATTTTGTGATGATTGGTGATAAATTATTTCAAGGAATATTTGTTCATTTGAAATAGCTTATTAAATTTTAATTCTACTTTATTTAAACAAAAGTAGTGGATGATTGTTATTCGAGTTGTTCAGTTATAATTTTTGATCGCGATGTTTCGTTTCAAGCTTATGGAAAAGCTAATTAAATTACTTTTATAAATTTTCTAATTCTTTTCCTGTAAAGCAAAGTCCACTCGCGATTTTGTTTCCAGTTTTTCTATTTACAATAAATATGCATTGAAAGGTATATTGAATAATATAATGCAATAAAGTCAAGTAGAGTCATGTTTGTACGTATATTGCAGTAAAAGACAGTTGTTTCAATGACAATATTGTGTACTATTCGTCGCGAAATCAACGAATATTAAATACAATAAAATGAAATAATTAATGGTATTAACTCAAATCACTTAACTCAAATATATATTTATCTAAATCTTTTTTTCTTTATTTTGGCACTGAAGTTTGCTTTTAATTCATATTTCGTAGCAAATTGATTTTGAGT